AAAGGATACGCAACTAACCTTAATGTAAATATATATATATATATATATATATATATATATATATATATATATATATATATATATATAAACTTTTTCTGGCGATTTGGGAGCAGTTAAAGAATTTAATAATCAGTGCTCATGCTAACAGTTTGTGACCAATTGTAGCAGTTGCCGTCTCCATAACTATGGTGGTGCTGCAGTCTTTTTTCGTAGAAGCATTCTCTCTCAGACTTGTCGCGTGCGGATGTGCACTAGAACGCAGGAGTACTGAGTGAGAAAATAAGACGTCAAAACAATACGTAAGGTTGTTAAGGGATTGCATTCTAGAAGATGAAAGTCGCAGTTTGACCAAGGCAGACGTGTGGTCCGGCCTTGGTGTAAGTCCTTGAGGATGCTTTACCCCGGAATGCCACGGAAGGGATGGTAATCAAGTTGGATCCTTAAGGATGTTTTACCCCGGGATGCCACTGAAGGAATGATAATCAAAGCTGGATCCTTGAGGACGCTGTACCCCGGGACTACTCTATAAACCTCAGCAGACAACTGGTATATTGATCGCATATTGTGCTCAGCACTTGAGGACGCTCTACCCCGGAACTCCGCTATAAACCTCAGCAGATAGCTAGTATATTGATCGCATATTGTGCTCGGCATGAAGCTGGAATACTTATATTACCTCGATGGGACTGCAAAAGAAAAAATCGATGTGATTGTCCGGATTTCCAAGGTCGGACTTAAATCGATTTGATTGTCGAATTTCCAAGGTCGGTCTACGGTCCGCCATTTGTTATGAAGTCCGTTCATGTCGAGCCGGCTCGTGTTGGTGTGTTTGAATGATTCTTTATTAATTGCATATTTTTTTTTAATCCGTTGATCATTGGTATATCAATACACCCATGGAACCTATCGTATAGCGTTCGGTGTTCTAACGTTTGAAAGCATTGAAGTTTCTTCTGTTTTACCCCACTTAACTTATTTCATCGTTGGTACGACACACATCACCATGAAGCCGACGTAGGTCACAAGACTGTTTGCTGTTAGGCCGTCTTTTGATGTTGGCCCCCATGTGTATCTATGTCAATCTCTGGCTTTCTTACCTTCGATTGTTTTCCTTCAGTACTGTATTTGAAAGAGTGTTATGTCTTTTAATGCTGTCATGTCTTTTAATGCTGTTATGTCTTTTAATGCTGTCATTTTAATGATAAATGATAATCTCAGTTGCTTCTTTTTTATTTCCTTCTGAAAATATCTTTGCATTCCCAACCTCATCAGGACCCCTGTAGCTGAAATTCACCCCTGTCTTCTGTGTGTGCATATGTTCACATCTCCAGAGAAATAATGTGATGATTATGATAATGTAATATACTACTGCTACACAAAAACTACCTTTGCTACTAATACTACTATTGTAATAAAAATAACAGTAACAATGGCATAATAATGTTGAAAAAAAAAAATTATTATAGAGAACGTGTTCGGTCCTTTGGAGTGGTCTCGCCGTGACCTTGGGGCTCTCAACATACAGAGAGCTCGAGACGAAGGATTGCCAAGTTACAACGACATTAGAGAAGCGTATGGGTTGCCAAGGATGCAAAACTGGACTGAAATTAACCCACTGTATACAGAAGTAAGTTATTCAGTTGGTTAGAAATGCTGCTATCCCATAATTTAAATCCTTTATAGATACATGTCCTTATATGTTTGTATGTCAGCTCTGTGGCTAAGTCGATGCGAACGCTTCGTACTGCCGGGATACCAGGTTCGATCCCAGCTGCGGGACATGCGCCTTGCGTTGGTTTCGACAGTGATTTCAAGAAAGCCGATCGTCCAGAAAGCAAATGTCAAACTACAGGACGTAAATTGCCTAGATAAACCACACAACAGCCAGGATCTGATGGGGTTGGGTCTGCAACGTCCTGTAAAGAAAACGCAACAACCTAGTTTTGATATGTTTCATTTGAATTGTTAACACACAGCTTTCATTGTGAGACCAAATCCTATGCGCCTCTTTTAGCCCTATACTCAAATGCTCGCAACAGGGTAATTTAAAAATCTTTTTAGTAAATTACTTTATTTACCCTAACAAAAAAGCTCTAATTATTCTTACGTAAAAATTTACTATCTGTTATTCTTTGCCTGATATTAATTGCTATTTATTATTTGATAGCCTGTAGCAACATAAGAAAGTGAGCCATGAACTATCTCCCAGTCCTTAGGGAAGAAATAAAAAACGGTTTTGAACAGAAATAATGTAGAAAGATTCTCAGAATACCTTGGTTAAAGAAGAGAAGAATTACAAACATTCTAAAAGATCTAAATAAACAGCATTTTGTCTCGGAAGCTAAAATGTTTTGACTATAGAAAGAGCCACAAAGGATTGTAAATAAATACAAGCATAATGCATGGTGCCAGGAAGGAGCGGCAGGGGCCAACCAACACAAAGAGTGGCAAAGGATATGTGACCCCTTGGATATGAAAGAGAACGAGACGGGACAGCTGGCGAGATATGCAGTTTCTTTCAGGCAGAATATGATAAAAGCGACATTTTGCAAAGGACTTGCTCTATGACAGGGCTATTCAACTGTCGGCCCGCGGGCGAAAAGTGGCCCGCGAAGACCTAACAAGTGGCACGCAAATCACTGTCAGTGGTATTGTATTATTGATATTTCTATGCTGGGGCTCAAACTGTTGGCCCTTGTCGATCCCTATTTTCAAAATGTTGGCCCCTGAGTCAACTTAGTTGAATAGCCTTGCTCTATGATGATAATGATGATATTGAAGATGTTGATGATGTTGATGATTATTTTATTTTACGTTTAAAACCTTAACTGTTTTGCTCAAAATTTATTTTAAGAAAACAACTCTATAACTATAATCATTAGTTTTAGTACTAGCAGTAACAGTAGTTTTTACATAAATGATGTTCTCTTCAATTTTTAAATGAAATAAACGAAATCCAAATAATGTGTAATGTATACTTTTGCTGTTTCCTATATTGTAATTTTTTTTCAGTGAGATATGTTGTTTATTTTGTTATTTTTTAAAATTGTATCTATGTCACACCTTCTCTGTGATAATTAGGATTAATAAACCTAACAGATAATTTTTTTCAACAAAATTTTTCTACTTATGTTTTAGCCGATGCGAATGTGTTTCATAATTATGAAATATCCAGTCAGATTCAGCTGCAGGGGATCTGTAGGCAGACCAGTTTGCATTGGTTTCAACAACAGTATGAAGCCATGACCGTTCAGGAGCAATGGCAAACTTAAATATAAAATTGTATAGTAAAACCAGGCAGCAAAAAAAAAAAAAAAAAAAAATTATTGGTGTTTGTTCTGCAATGTCCTGTAAAGGATAAACAACTAACTGTGCTTTGAGAAAGCAGATTTATTATTATTTAATTTTTTTTATTCATGTTAGTTGAATACTCAGAAAGTTCTAGTTTCTTCTCATCCTTCACCACTGACATAGATATAATTTAATAAAGTATAATTACACAACCAACAAAGTCTCCTTCTTCTAGATTCTGGAAAAGCTGCAAGCACTCTACAATAGCACAGCTCCAGATAACCTTGATCTTTTTCCTGGGGGACTGCTAGAGACCACATTTGATGGACCCGGGCCTCTGTTCAGAGCAATCCTACTTGATCAGTTTTTGCGTATCAGACATGGGGACAGGTTTTGGTATGAGAATGAGAAGAATAAGTGAGTAATTCTTATTGCAGTAAAAAACATCCTACAATGTTAATTTAAAAATAATAATTGATGTATTGTTCACATTGTATTGTTAATATATCTTTTTTATATCTCTTTTATTATGCTGTAGTGTCTAGCACCAAATACTGTATAAAAATGAGAAAACCTATCTTAGAAAACCCACAATAAATGACTTTTACTTATCCAACGGTTAGAAAATCAAACCAGAAAAAAACTATTACAACATCATTTGATGATGTACCTTTGCTGGTGTCTGTCAGAATAGTTTTCCAAGCAAGGTTGCCCATTTTTTTTATATTTTTTTTTGGGGGGGGGGGGGGGGGGGGTTGGGGGGGGGGGGGGGGGTTAAATTTTAATCTCTGACATAAAATCAGTGAGTTTTAACCAGTTGTAGAACTTACATGTCGGCTCTGTGGCTAAGTCGATGCGAACGCTTCGCTTCGTAATGCCGGGATGCCAGGTTCGATCCCAGTTGCGGGCACTGCGCCTTGCGTTGGTTTCGACAGTGGTATCAAGAAAGCCGACCGTCCAGCAAGCAATGGCAAACTACTGGACGTATATTGCCTAGAGAAACCACACAACAGCCAGGGGCTGTTAGGGTTGGTTCTGCAACGTCCTGTAAGGATACGCAACTAACTTTTAGAACTTACATAGAGGGTTGCATGGTCTCGAGGAAAGATCTCCGCCTCGAGTGCTAGAGGTTCCGAGTTCAATGCCCGGTAAGAGCTGGGATTTTCTCACGTGGACTTGGACTTCTAGTCATTTTCCCGGTTCCTGGGTAGTGAGATCGGAAGCCCGTGTGCATTGTTGCGCATGTAAAAAAATCCCTTTTCAGTTGGAAATTGAAAAGAGTAGACTATCAACGCTGCCCGGGCCGAATTTGGAGTTAAAAATCTACCTAAAGTATTTCAGGATCCTCACCGGTGCTACAAAACCAGTGCAATGTACTGAGCTTCTTCTTCTCAGACTTGAGCTAGAAGAAGAACGGAGCTCTTATGGGTTACACCCGAGTGCAATGATGTTGATCCGTTGTTTAACCCCCTCCCCCTCTTCCCGCCCCGAAGTTACATTTCATGTTGTGTGAAGAGTAAGTGATAGTCCCTCAGTCATCAACTTTATGATTTTTAAAATAGCTCAATCTCGTCACATGCTAGATTCTGCTGTAGGGTTGATTAATAAAACAATTATTAAACTCTGTACATGAAAGATGCATGATGTATGATCATGTTAATTGTATAATATAATAATCATTAACAGTAAATATTGTCTTATGATTTCAGTCTTTTTACAGAAGATGAAGTTAAAGAAATTGAAAACACAATGTTCTACGATGTTATTAACAATGTGAGCAATGCACTGCGGGATGCCAACCTAATCAACATCACCCGGGAGGAGATCTTCTTTTGTTGTAAGTTAACTTTTTACCAGTCAAGCAACCAAAAACACAACCTTATCAGATTATATTTTCTGCTATTATATAATCAAATTGACTGTGAAATTAAAAAAAAATAAAAAAAAAAAAAGTATTTTTCAGAAATTACTAGATATGTTTTTTGCTTCTTTTTACAATTTTATAGTGAATAAAAAAAAATGTACAAGTCTATTTATAATCATCTTTGTTGATATAAAGATTCACAATGTGATATTTATATACACATAATTTTACCGAATAACTTGCAGTATTCTGTCATAAAACTTCCGTCTCTCTCTTCTCTTTATCACAACCAACAGCCAGCAGTTCGGATCCTGACGGCTGTGAATGCAATGATCCAGTGGTTGACGATGAAGCAATCGCTGAAGTTTGTGAACCACTAAAACACTATGACTACTTCAGTGGCAGTGAAGTATCATTTGTCATCACCATTATTGTCATCATACTGTCTCTGCCAGGTGAGCAACGTCCTAACTAAGATAGCTGTTGTGTAAAATTGAAACTGTAATTATTACATTACTGTACTGTTGCTAGAGGACACACTATCAAACAGTATAGATTTGTTTCATTTATATCGTGAAGCAGGCTAAAAAGTGTGGACCAGTGATCACCAAACTGTGCGCTGCGGCGCCCAGTTAAGCCGCGACCTCTTCACACGGGCGCAGCGAAATATTTAAAGATACACGAGTTTTCTTAGAACTGCGTCATTTGGTATTTTTTGTGTGGGTCAATCCATGGTATTCATTTTATTCTCACCAGAAGCTGAATTTCAGCACTCAGTGGGTCTTTCTAAGCTTATTGTTTATGTTCCCCATGCATACATCATTACTAGTTCTACGCATAACTTGAACAAACTTTGTTTCATAGCTTGAATATTCAGGATACCGTTTGCTAATAACATTTGTAATCAGTTTACGTGTTTTTCAAATGCTAAGCATCTGTCAAATGTTGTACCCAGGTATTTCATGGAATCAGTTCTCTCCACCATCAAATATGCATTGGCCATCATGACCCTCAGCACCACAAAGATGAACATACTGGAGAGAATTTAAAACGAGGCAATGTGTATTATTCTTAAATGCACTAGAGACACCTTTTGTAAATCCATGCCGTTCCTCTTGGATTTCCAACAATGGAAAACATAATCAGACTGTCCAGGGTCGTTGCTTTCCTCAAAGTGAAGTCAGAACCTCGACACCCACTTCATGAGGAATTATTTAAGGGGAAAAAAAGACATAAACAAGGCAAATCCTGAATGGATTCGCTGAGGATGGCATCGAACATGTTTGCCGCCTTACTGACATTAATTTTAGAATTGAATGGATACCCATGCCTCCTGTTCCAAATATTACCATTGAATTCTACATCACACTGGATGAAAGCAGTAGAGAGCAGATTCCTGGCACTGTTGACGCTTTAGTCAGAACACTGATCGACGAAACCACAGATGAAGGGAATGCAATAGTTTACACAGATGGATCAGTTATTTAAGGCAAGCGAAGTGCATGGGTATCCACAGTAAGCTCAAGGGGGAAAACCTTCAAGGAGATTAATGGCGCCTTTGCTGTTACAATTAGAAGCCTTTCAATGGAAATTATGGCTGTAACAAGAGCATCAGCATGGCCTAGTACTCAACAGTTCACGCACGTAAACATACTTAGTGACTCGATGAATATGATTAAAAAATTGCAAACTGGTTTTATAAGGTAAGAATGGATTACAATACTAAACACTTCTCAAATGGCTGCCCTAACCTTCATCGTTGTGCCAGGTGATACGGGTGTTCAAGCGAACGAGCGTGCAGACTATCTTGCTGACACTGGGGTTGTTATGGCTGGTCCAGTACTGGACAGAAATGATGTTATCAATGCCATACGCAGCACTTACCGTGACAACGAGCACGCCAAAGGTCATGACTCCGTATACCTGATTAGGCTAATGGACATGGAGGTACAGCCTAGATCTGTGAGAAACTAACATTTCACTAAGGGGATAAGAAGTTTCATTAACCAACACAGAACAGGCATCATCGGTCATTTTACATATGTAGAGCTTTTGAGGAGGAGATCAGAGCATCTATGGATCTGTCTGGAGTGCTGTGATGATAATCCCTACAAATCACTGATCGCTGATCACTATTCATAATTAGTATTTAAAAAAAAAACGGTGAGTATTATTGCTCTAAAACATATATTAAGGTAGACAGACCCCACATTGGTTTGTTGAAACTTTTTTGCAGAAAAGAAGTGACCAGGGGATCTAAACAATGCTAAACACTGAAGGGAAAGGCCAGATAGATACACAATCATATTGTTACTGATGCCATGACTGACTGACTGACTTTCTACCCAACCAGGACATCACAAAAGCGATAAACACCCAATGACACAATGTGCCACCTTGTGGGTGAGGATCACCGTGGAGAGGTTCTAGAAACCGCGTTCAGCCATTAGGCCATATTGCGGCCCCTGGCAAGAGCCAGAGTAGGACTTCAAATAACGAAAAATTTCATCATAAAAAAGACGGGAAATTTTACCGATGCCATGAGAACTGTAACTCTGTGCTTGCTGCTGAAGATAGAGATGGGGTGCTTATGGAAATGTCCCTAGTGCTGTGATGTCAGTTCTTAATTCAACATGTAATCCCGAGAACTATGTCACTTATCCTTACAAATGAGTTAGTCCAGTAACATGTAATGTGTATTTGAAATGCAGACTACTGTGAAACCATTTAAAAAAAATACATTCTTTCGAAGGAAACTAAAGATTTTCATTAAAATTATCCCCCTTGTTCCACAAATGAACCAGATTTCATTCACATATAACTGCTATGCTAATAAAATTTCATTTTCTGATCAGTAGGACATTAGTTTCTTGAAAACTTAAAAACATCTACCATTTTAAACATCATAGTAGTTTGAAGAGAGCAGTTATGGATTTTATAAAAAATGCTCTGCAGGAACTACATCGGCCATGCACTCAGAAGGGATAAGACAAGACTTCTCCATCACGCCCTCACATGGACACCGGAAAGGAAAAGAAAATGAAGAAGACCAGGAGAGATTGCGTAGAACCATCATCAGGAAAGGCTCAGCCAAGGGCCTAACAAACATCCAAGACATAAAACAGGTGGCAATGAACCGCAAGACATGGAGAGCTGTAATGTCTGCCAATGGCGTAGGCTGAAGAGGAAGGACTAACTAACTATGTGTGGAAAGTTTTGGTTCTTGGGAGAAGAGGCAGCCTGACGATGGAGACAAAATACCAAGAACACTCAGGGCAGGAAATTCCACAGCCGTGGGGCAACTGACAGGAGAATGGGCTGATTTCTAGTGTGCCACGTGAGAGTTATGTTCTGCTAGGGACCTGCTACATGATAATGTTAAGAATACCAAAACAGAGAGAACTTTGTAAAATAAGTTTTGGAGATTTTTCCATAAATTATAGATATTATAGGTAGGATTTGTTCGATAATACATAATTTTATGAATAATTGATATAAGGAATCTACTATTTTACAATTTAATGACAGTTTTGCTGACATACTCTTACATAAGTATCATTTACACAGTCATGAATAAAAGTTTCAAAGCATTTTTGGCAGTAACCTATATACTCTCAAACCTTAAGAGGAGTGATACTTTTAAATTTACTTTCATTGTGAATTGTTATTGTAACACTATTAAAAATCTTGTAAGTATATTTTTAAAAATTTATTTAATGTATTATTGTACTCCTCATTTGCTCTAATAAGTATGAATTTGTTCATGGCATTTTTTATGTGATGAGACGTCGCAGGTCGACCCAGCCTCAAATGGGTACCAGGATGGGCTGTCCTGGGAAAGTAAAGACGGCCGGCGTAATGCTGACCACATTACCCACCGAGTGCCGATTGGTCTGTAAAAATATGGGTGCTCTTCCCATATGCCCGATGCGCCTAAGGGCGTGTAAAGGGATATTAACTTTTTTTTTTTTTTACTTTTTAATTATTTCAGTGACAATAGCTATTATGATGGGTATGTCATGGCAGAGAAGACATGCTCTGAATGCAAATGGAGAAAGACCCAAAGCAAAGCTTGAGGCTGGACCAAATCAATTTTTTGGTGAGACTAAAAACAATATCATGTATTTATTTGTAATTTCAATATAATTTTGTGTTTGTTAAAAACAATATTTAGTTCTTTTGTGCTTTTTTACCCATAAGGGGTGGGGGTGGTGGGGGGGGGGGGGGAGAGAAGATTTCGTAGTGAAATCATAAAGAATTTCCTGGAATGTCCAGTATTACATGGAGATTAGGGTTAGGGTTGCTGTTAGTTTGTGTTCATTTAACACTAACCATAAAACTCCTATATTCTAGGGGTATCATGTGATGAGCGTTGTCAGCCTTTCATCGCTTATTGCATCACTATTTCCAGTATCTGTTACTTTCGTTCACATGTCGTCATCACTGCGCCCTGTTTGGAAGCGATGTTCCTACTTCGTGACTTAACCTTTCATATCAATTGATGATAATGATGACGAAGAAAAAGATGATGGTGATGATTATGATTACGATGATTATTTTGATGATGACTGTGATAATAATGATGATGATGACCATGATCATGATGATGATGATGATAAAATGGTGGAGTTAATGTTGATGATGATGAAGAAGATGATGATGATGAAGAAGATGGTGAAGATGGTGATGATGAAGATGAAAAAGATGATGATGATGATGATAATGATGAAGAAGAAGAAGATGATGAAGATGATGATCATTATGTTGAAGAAGACGATGATGATGATGATGATAATGATAATGATGATGCTCTAAGGTAATTTAACTGAAATACTGAGTAAGGATTTGGAAAGGAAACAAATGTCTTGTCATCATCTTGACAGATAAAAAATTAAAAAAATAAAAATAGCACAAAAGCTCAATGTGTCACATGGAATAAACTTAAAATTATTAAAATTTGTGTAAAGGATAGCCTCAGTGACTTAGTAAATTCAAGGGGTTTACACTTCATAGCCTTAGAACAGTATCTACACTTAGACTGCTATTCTCTGCTTTAATATCTGTAATGTTTTATCATTTCAGCAACTGAATGGGTTGGCAGGTCTACTCATGGTTTCTTGATAAGTCGAGATGTCAAGATCAATTTAGATGACACACGGCTGAAAATTCTTGTTTCAAACATGAAGAATCAGGTTGTTAGAATGATTGACCTTCGAAGACGAATGGCCAATGAGACAGAAAGGCCAAGAGCATCGGTAACAAGGTCAAATGATAAGGGTCACAAGCTAATGATGGTCGGAGTTCCTGGAGAAATTGATTTGGTAATACAATTTTTATGGCAGCCACTAATATCAGATAACAGTCATTTTTTTTTCTTTTGTGAATAGTATTTTAACTATCCTGTCTGGTTCATTTTACCTATTTAGGTAGCAATTAGGACTCTCAAAGAAATGCAAGAAAGAAGATTGTGTTAATCATTGTTGCCAAAACAAGTCTTTAAAAGCCTTAACGAATATAAAGCACCAAGTTATGCAGCTCTGAGACCAAACTACAAATCATTGACTCCAATGTTATTTTAATTCTAACATATGCCAACGAAGAAAAAAATCATGAACATAAAATGGTATGAATTTTAAAAACATGGGGAGCAGAGAAATGTCTGGACATTTACTTTATCGACTGTAATACGACAAAGAAGGTGGAGATATTTTGGGCACACTCTGAGACTAAATGAACAAAGAATTACAAAACAAGCCCTAACATGGAAAACAAATGGTCTAAAAAAAAAAAAAAGGAAATCCAAGGGAAACATTAGAAAAAAACATTTTTACGAAAATTCTAGGCTGAACTCCATGTCAGAAATCGAGAGAGTTTCATGTAATCGAGCAGAGTGGAGGAATCGAATAGTGTCCTATGTGACATCTAATGGCACACAGCGGATGATGATGGTTCTGGGCTCCAATTTGAGATGAGATGAGATGAGATATGGGGTGGGGGTGGGAGGGGGTGGGGGTGTTAGAGAAAGAAAAGAGAAACAATAGATGCACTTAACTAGCATGAAGGTGAAAGGCCACTAATCAAACGTTTGACAAAATTAGATCACAACCTAGCAGTAATTTATAACAACATGCCAACTACCCTTTTAAAGGCAAACACAGTAGAAGAAGAGAACAAACTAAAAGAAGAATAAGAAAATGAACAAGAAGAAATGTGAACTAAACTAGAAGAATCAGACAAAAAAATAGTTAAATTTCCAGTCAGTGGGCTATTGATGAAGCTTCGTGGTAATTTCATTCCATATGAGTCTGCTTTATGCTAAATTTCGCACATAATAAATTTGTATGTAAAGGTCAAGCAAACGTTTTTTAAAGAGTTAGGAATTTGATAACATAACATACTGAACATCATCGGTTGACTTTTGAGAAAGTGATTCTTCTTCAATCCCTGGAACTGGCAGGTCTGTTTTTTCTATTAGTGCTAGTCTGGCTTGATTAGCCGCGTCAAAAATGGGTAAAGATCATTTCCAAAATTTTCTGCAAATTATTTGAAAGGAAAAAGTGAAGAGAAAGGGAACTGACTATCTCACTTTATATACTGTGGCTTGGAATGTTATTTGGCCCGATGTTTCACTCCCCGGTGGAAGTTGCTTTTGGGCAGTGTCTATGGGACTACTTTAAACTGATATTCTACTCTTCTTCTGTTTTCTCGTGTGACATGTTTTTCTGTCTGTGCGTGCGTGTGAATGAGTGATTGGGTGAGTTGAATGCGCACCATGTGTGTTTGTGTGCATGCATTTTTCCACCCATGCTTTTGTGTTTTTTATTGATATTCAAAATATGCATATTATTTCATGATCATAACATGTTTTATTAATAAAAATACTACTGCTCGGTGAAAAGTCGGCGTTTTAAAGGGCTGAATGTAGGACGGGCCTGGGTGCCCAGTTTGTGACCCATTAAATATAAAGTTTGTTCGTTCGTTTGTTTGTTTGTTCTCCTAAGTAAATTAAATGTAGGATTCTCAAAACAAGTTGAAAACTTTAGATGAATTGAATAAAGTCAAATAAATTGCATTAGAAGTAAAGAAGAAAATAAAACCAGCAGGAGATTACTACTAACTTTTGTTTTAATAGTAAAGAAATTGACTATTTTCATGGCGCTGTTGTATCATTAAGCCTTTTTTTTTTTTTTTTAGAATTAATTTTCTTTTGCAGAGTTCTTTAACCCCACACAACCCTGTTTCTGACAAGGAAATTATAGTGATCTGCAAAGAGGAAGGTCCTCCTGATAGTTTAATAATTATATATAACGAACATATACAACTGGAACAGTTAACCCAACTAGGTTAATTGAATCATCCACTTCATACAAATTTGTTAGACTCGATGCGACTGATAATTATCTCTTTTATATAGCAGGCCTGCTCACTCTAGTTGTCTGTCAATAATTTTGGAGCTAGTGGCAGCAGACTCTAATTTGTATTTCTTAGTCCCCAGTTGTTGTTTTTTCCCCCCCCCGTGTGTATTTTTTTCCCTGGATTGGCTACGGAACCCTCTAGGAAGTGCACTAAGGCTACACGAAGCACCATATAGGAACCACTTTTATAGACAAAACACTTAATGAGGGAATGTGGTTCCTATCCCACCTTTACTTTCTGGGATTTTTTCTGGTACTAGTTTTCAGCTGGGACAACCTAGAAGATGTACACTAGTTATAATATTCTGGCTCTGGTTTAGATTTAGAACTAAGACATGTAGGCTGACAGGCGTCCATCTAACTGTGGCTCTACCTTAGCTTTCAGACTTTAGTATAGTCAAACAACAATTTACAGTACCTTAAGTGGGTTCCAGGGCCCATTTTGTGGATAAACAATATTAGATCCATGGCTTCCATAAAAAAAGCATGTCATAAAAGGTGACTGATTATCTTTGCTAAATGTATATGTTTTAGGCAAAAAAGCACAGACACCTTAGCCTAGCCAAAACCCACAATGCAAGAAACTAACAACATTTTTAAGGGCAAACGAAAAAGAATAAGAAGATTAGTTTCAGTTATACAGTTGATAAACTGAACAGCTGAAAGACTAAGTTTTATAAAAACAGCTGTAAAAACATCGACAGTCTTGGAATCATAGCTTTGGAACTTTTTCCACAGGTGTTGCACTTCTCATCACAAAATGACCGTGACAGTGGTTTCCGTCAACTACAAGCTTTCTTTAACAAGCACAACTGGGAATTTCATGAAGGTAACTGTATTTTTGAGAGCATTTTTTGTACATTGGTTTGCCTGCTTGCCTTTCAGCCCCGTGATCATGTGTTTAAAACCTCTTCAAGGAATGGATTTAATTAATCGATATAGACTTCTATGACAGTTGAGTCCAAATTATTGATCTCAATGGTGAAATGGTCAGGCTGTTTACCCCACGCTTTGAAAGTTGGTTCATTTCACTGTGGCATCATTCAACGGAGTTTGTGTGATGCACCAAAGTCGAGATTCTCACATTTAACCTTTAACTCTTAATCTGTAAAATATATGAGAAAGATATTTTTAGTGATGTAATAGTAGACCCGGGTGTCGCCGTAGACGCGCGCCGCGGATCGGAAGGTCGTGGGTTCGCTCCCTGGCAGAGCAAGACGTTTAAAAAAAATGACCTTGGTTACCAGGTCGACCCAGCCTTGAGTGGGTACCGGGTGCGGTCTTAGGAAGTAAAGGCGGCCAGTGTGATGCTGACAACATCACCTATCTTGCGCCGATTGGGCTTTAAAATATAAGTCTAGCCTTATATGCCCCATATGCCCAAAGGCGTGGAAAAGGGTCCTTTACTTTACTTTTTAAAAGCAGACCAAGAGGAGGATGGGGAGATAGCGTCCCTACAGACCTGTAGGCATTTGGTGTCACCAACTGGAGGGGAAAGGCCAGGCAGAGAGATGGATGGAGGCGGGGAATATATGCATCAATAAACCTCAAGGGCTCGGAATGCTGAAGAAGAAGAACAGCAGCAGCATGGAGCCACGGTAGCATAGTGAGTTTGGACTCATTTGTCTAAGGTTCAAATCTACACTGAGGTTTATTTTTTTTTTTTTTCCAAATGTACATTGGCTTCTAAACCAGTCAGTACAAAGTGGATATCAAGGTAATATCCTTGGAAGTAAAGGTCGCCAGCATGATAAAGACGACATCACCTATTAATTAGCGATTGATCTATACAAATATTGGTCTAGCCCTTTTTGAAAAGGGTCGTTTACTTTTAAATGCAGCATTTATGATGATAAGTACAGAATCGACCAGGAGTCAGCTAATTTAAAAATCTAAGGCTAGCTCCATGTACCCCATGACATGAAAATGAATCGTATTCTTTCTTAAACTAATTGAAATTTCTAGTAATAGAAAAGACATTTGGAAATTAAATCTTATTCTATGTGTAGGTGTTATTTTGTTTTATTTATTAAGCTGTACACTTTTTTTTTTTTTACATAGGACCTGCCATGGCTGAGAATGTGATGTGGAGAGAAGCCACAACTGTGGATCAACGAAAGGAAGTGTTAGCAAAGTTTTTCAGGAGCGCCTTAGCAGAGGTGTGTTTTCTGTTTGCATAAACATCTAAGCAATCATTACAAAACAAAACAAATCACTAATTGCTATTTGCAGTTCCAACAACACAGTAAAGCAAACAAAGTATCTATCACTGCTGTATGTAAAATCAACATCATTTCTGACTTTCCTGCCCTCCCGTTTTATGGATACTCTAGGATGAGAAAATGGGTTGGGAAAGCTCAACCTAGAGATTTTGGGTTGCATGGCTACTACAGTCACCACAGTTTGTGCAGGTGAGGTTTTTATTTTTGCCTCTGACAGAGACAAATCCATTCTTCTGAACAAGATCCTAGCATTCCTAACCCTTTGGTTAGCTGCTGCTCCAGTACCAGCAGTCTGCCACTAGTATTCCACTTCATCCTCACAAAGTGACTGTGTGGTGTACAGAAATGAGGGCTGTCGTCCACCCGGAAAAGGCGTCTGTTTTGTGGTGTTCTCTGGACAACAGAATCGTTAAAACTAATGTCCCAAGTCTCATGATAGATGGTAGAGACGTCAACAGAGAGAGCAAACTGAAGTATCTGGGAATTACATTTGACAGGAGCCTGTCATTTAAGGACCATGTGGAGAATGTTGTGACGAGATGCCAAAAAGGACTAAGTGCACTTAAGACTATGACTGCAATTGACATAGAGCAGAGAATGCTTTTCACAATATATCATCACCTGATCCTGTCAGTGGTGAATTATGGCCTGGGACTGCTTACCGTCTCAAAGAGTCAGATGGACAAACTAGAGCGCATACAAAACGCTGCTATGCGGGTCATTCTGGGTTGCACCAGAGACACCCCAGAGGTGTGTATGCGATACATCCTTGGTTTGCCGACGGTTGCAGGTAGGCACGAGGTGCTGCAGGCGAAGTCATATCTCAGGGTAGCTGCAGACACAGACCACCCCCTGCATAAAGCTCTGGGTGCAGATAAGGGTCAGCGGCTGATAAGAGGGAGGTCATGGATGGCTCAGGCAGAAGACACAATCAGACAGATTTGCATCCTTGAGAACATAAGGCGAGGAGAGGAGTGGGTCAAAGTGCCACCTGAGCAGTCAGACTTGTGTAGAGTCATAATCACACTGAGCCGGGAATGCAGAGACTGGCCAGCAGGTGCAACAGAGGTGGAGATTCAGCAATTAATTTAAGGTAATGCTCGCTCAGAGGATCTGATCATTTACACAGACAGTTCAGTGTCAAGAGGCAAAAGAAGTGCTTGGGGCTTCTTAGCAAAAGTTAATGGTCGACGTTTGGAGCAGGAGAGCCTAGCATATGATACCACAACATCCAGCTTAAGAATGGAGGTGGAGGTGGTCACTGCAGCTTTCCGCTGGCTAGAGAACACGACACACACACACACACATACACACACACACACACACACATCGTGATTGTAACTGATTCAGAAAGCATGCTGAGGAAGATCAGAACAGGTATGCTTCGTGCAGAGTGGCATGCTTAGCTGCGGAGGACACGAGTGAGGAGTATTGTCTAGATTTTTTCACCGGGTCACGTGGTGTGTTGGGAAATGAACAGGCGGGCAGACTGGCTGGCTCTGCACAACTTGGTGGAATACTGCTTCATGATAGGACAGACGTGGTTAGTGCCTTGTGGTAGAGCATGTACAATTCGGAGGAGCAGATGGATCACCACAGTCTGGTGAGATTGATGCAGCTGGGGGTGACGAGAGGTTCTGGCAGAAGCTCGAGGCTCAGAGGAAAGGCAAGACGGACGTTTAATCAGAAAGCTACTGGCACCATTAGTATCGGAACTCTTCGCTGGCTGCTGAAGATGGGGACGAAGCGCTTATGGGGATGCCCCGAGTGCTGTGATGTCGGTTCTTGAATCATATCATATCAAATCAAATCAATCCTCACAGAAGCAGTAGATATGACAACCCAGCAGTTGCACATGAATTTATTAATAAAGCATACAGCCAGCTCCGTAGCAACTGGCTACCTGCCTTTTTTTTAAATATGCAGCAATGATTTTAAACACAGATATGCACTCTACGTGAAATCCAACAGTCAGTGTTGCACCATTCAGCTTAGTAGCTGGTAAATGGAACAAAACAAACAAACTGAAATATAAATTTCTCCTATGTGTAATATGGCAGCTATGACTATAAACCAGAGTACTAAAATGTGAAAGTCAGGGGTAACCTATTAAATTATACTTTCAATAAGTTTGTGATGCAGTCACAGGCTTTGAATTTAAAAAAAAAAAGAAGAAGAAAATTGCAGAATCTTCATACTAATCACAAGACTGAATAGTGTCCATTTTGTGAAAAGGGTTGTATTTTCAACCCTAGACTGGGTTAAAAGAGAGCGGATTAGGCCACTCAGGTCTTGGATAAATCTGTTTCAATGTTGATGATGCGAAAATAGAATTAATTTTAAATTCTGTATGACATGTCGCTTTGTAGTTACACTGATTCTCAACTGTCAGAAAAATTGCTGTTTTAACAAGGCTTTGGCTACAAACAGCACACCAATGAGCAGCTAAGATCGAAAAGTTTTTAAGGGCCTAGGACTATCAAAGTCTTTCCATGAGGCTTTTGTTTTTCCGTATATTATAATACATTTCATAATTCCATTTATTACAAAACTCAGTTGCAGATAATATTTTGACTTATTTAAGTGTTTTGAGTGGTCTCAGGGCGTGGTGTCCGTCTTGAGTGCTAGAGGTACCGGCTTCATTCCCCGTTAAGGGCTGATTTTTTTTCACGTGGGCTTGGACTTCTAGTAATTCGCGCTGGTCTCAGGGTTATGAGATCGGACGCCCATGTGCATTGTTACGCATGTGAAAAATCCCTTGGTAGTTGGAAGTCGAAAAGAGTAGCCTAACTGCTTGGTTAAAATTTGGGGTTACAAATCAATCCAAAGTATTTCAGGATCCTCGCCGGTGCTACAGAGCGTGTGCACAGTGCTGAGCTTCTTCGGACTTAGACTTGAGTTAGAAGAAGGACGAAGCACTTATGGGTTACACCCGTGTGCCATGATGTTGACCGTTGCTCAAAATCTCAAACCTCAAGTGTTTCACAGTTTTTTTCCATTGTACCTTCTCAGTTATTGATTTCTAGGTCAGCACCAGATGTTTTTTCCCAATACTTTTTGCCTCTATCTTTCAGTTAAATATGATACATTGGTACCTCGGTATATGTACTTAATGCATTCCTAATCCCGTGATGATTTACCAGACAGTAAGTATAAAGTAAAAGTAAAGTAAAGTTCCCTTTTCAAGCCTTTCGGCGCATCGGGCATATGGGCAGAGCGTCCCATATTTTTACAGACCATCAGCACTCTGTGGGTAATGTGGTCAGCATTACGCCGGCTGTCTTTACTTTCCCAGGACAGCCTATCCTGGTACCCATTTTAGGCTGGGTTGACCTGCGACGTCCCATAAGTAAAAAAAAAAGTAAAGGACCCTTTTCCACGCCTTTAGGCGTATAGGGCATATAGGGCTAGACCAATATTTTTATAGACCAATCGGCACAAGATAGGTGATGTGGTCAGCATCACGCCGGCCGCCTTTACTTTCCCGGGACTGCACCCGGTACCCACTCAAGGCTGGGTCGACCTGGGAGCCAAGGTCATTTTTGAAAATAAGTCTGGCTCCGTCAGGGAGCGAACCCACGACCCCATATCACGACAAAAATCCACGCAGCCTGCAGTGGGTTTCGATCGCGGTATGCTGGCTTACGAGTCGGACTCGCAACGCCTTAGCCACGGACGCCGCAGACAGTAAGTATACCAGACTAAATTTCCCATAGGAAAAAAAGGAGTATTATCAATTCATTCCAGTGAAAAGAAAAATCATGTATTATTATTATATTGTACATAGATACAGTGGTTTTTAGTAGTTTATGAACTATTTCATATTAAAATGCATAAATACAGAAGCAATAAGATAAAATAGATGCAAATTTTACATTACTTTACCTTTTGGAGAAGGTTGGTGTTGAGTTTCGAATTAGAAACAATTCCCAACAGAACTTTAAAATTTTTAATTCCTGTGTTTTTTTCTGTCTCTTTTACCTGGTTAAGGCTCATTGGTTTGATTTTACTAAGAATTAGCCTAAGAACTTTATTTCTGCTTTCTCCTCAAGAGGTTTAGAGAATAACGTTGTATGGTCATTCTAGACAATCTGTTACGGCTTTTTTAGATTTAATAAGGGTAATACTTCGCCGCAAGGTCATTGACATCTATTCATGACTTTATCTCGATATACATCAAAATAAACATAGAGTGCAGTGTCAGGACTAATTTTAACTCACACAAGTTCTAGCACGCAAGTCCAAACAAAGAGTGCGTACCAAGAAACATTTTTGCATGTTAAAAGGATGTATACTAAGCTGAAAAAGATATCAAAGGAAACGTATACAGAAATACCACTGTGTAATATATCAACCCTTGTAATACATTTTAATTTACTGGTTTTAGTAGTCACCACCAGAATACACTTTGTTAGTAATTTGTCTGCAAGTGATTCCTAGTATACATATTTGAAAAAAAAATATTTGTAGTATTTTCTTACTGCAGATTCAAAATTTGTTAGAAAGTACTCTTGTATGATCTGTAGCTCTCTGGCCAAACACCTGAAGTGACCGACCAGAAGCACGTGGAAGAAGTTTTAGCCACAAAACTGACCAGAACTGAGTTCGCAGATGCCCTTGGCCTCCAACCCCAGTCACTGTTTGTGAGGAACATGTTTCTTCTCGTCGACTCCTCAGGTGATGGTTTTGTCTCCTTCGATGAGTTCAAGGCTTACTTCGGAATACTAAGCTCAGGTAATGATACTTTTTACTCAGATACGCAGGTAACTGGCTTACATGTGTAAAATACCTTGTCATTTTCAGAACACAGTTGTTTCATAACAGTCTTAACACTTTTACTCCCAATAAGGGGCCGTAGAAACCACACTAGAAAATCATGACACTAAATGCTTCTCAGAAACTTAATATTGAACCTTATATTATGTAATTCACCATGAATGTTATTAGCAATGAATGTGTGGACCTATATGTAATTATGTTTGTTTTATTAGGATGTGAACAGATTAAATGAAAGGGTGCTTATATTTTATGCCATTGGGAGAAACTGATTAATTTTTATAAGGTAAATAATTGCCCTGCATATTTAAGTGTCTTAAGTGTCATTTTTTTTTCATTTCAGTTCTGACTTACCATTTTTTTTCTGTATTTTCCTGTTTAATTATTGCAATTTTTTTTTCTTAGGCTCACTTTTAAAGCCAGTTTTTAAAGACTACTTCTTAGCTGTAAAATTACTCATCATATAATGATATTTATTGTTGTATTGTTTTTAAAAAAATATTATTATTTATACGTTAGATGTCTTCATACTGCAACAAAAATTTAAGCAGGTATAATTGCTTTTTTCCCCATTTCACACATTCTTTTAGGTAAACCTGAACAAAAGGCTGAAATGTTCTTTAAGATGTTTGACACAAGTCGCACTGGAAAGATTACAAAAGAGGATTACAAGAAAATGATTATGTAAGCAATAATATTTTGTGTATAATACAACAGCCTTATCCTTATTCAAACAGAAATAGGTAGAAGTGAAAATGACTCAGTATTTCGTATTTGTATGCATAACATTTTGACACTTATACTTTCCACAAAAGTTTCTTGTGACAATTTTTAGGCAGAGTCTACAGCAGAGCTAAGATCAATTAGAAACACTCCTGTGTCGATTCCATGGCCCCACCTGTGGGTTGGAGGGGGGGGGGGGTAGACCCACTGCCTCCCTAACAAGCATGTCATAGAAGTCAACTAATTAGAGAATTAATTTAAAGTTTGAGTTCACTTGCTAGAAAGGCAAAGAACCACAGTACGGCAGGTTCTGTAAAATGAGTGTGCACGCAAAACTCAGGTGCTTAAACACAGCAAAATTGACACATAAACAGGACCTTCTGCAGGGGTTTATAGACGGTGAGCATCAAAAAAAAAAAAAAAAATCCATAACAATGAAAAACTATATCTGTTGTTAAACTCAAAACCCAATTACAGTGAAGAATAAAAACTATATGGTACATGAGGAGATTTGAACTGCACAATAGCTGTGATAAAGTCTACCGGCTTCCAGATATAAGTTTTCTGACGGAAGGATGAAAAAAGAAGGCGAGGAAACCCGAGACCATCAGGCCAAGCAAGGGAGCATAAAAGACACTATAGCTGTCCAGTCTATGAGCTTTAGTGTGTTTTCCATTATGTTATCTGGAACACTGCTGTTCTGAAGTCTATGCCCTTTGTGAGTTTTTTAGTGAGTCATCTGAAACTCACCCTGTTTTAACTGTCTCATTTGTTTTAGGGTTCTGTTTGAGATGAATGAGGCAGACAAAAGCACAAAAGTCAACATAAATGAAATGGTTGATAAAGTGTTCAAGCAGGTTGGCAAAGATCAACAAGGATACCTAACACTTCAGGACTTTAAGACCATTATGTTTTCAGACACTGCTGATGTTTGGAAATCGGCTGTCCTTAATTTGGAAGGTAATGACAGTGTCTTGAAAATAAACTGGTAGAGTTTGTATATTTACACATGTAGATGTTCCCTGTTGGGCTCCAGGGCCCCATTTTATGAACAAAAGGAGTAGATCTACTGCCCCTTATAATACATGTCATAAATGGTAACTAATTATTGCATTCTTGAAATCAGATGTTTCGGGCTGAAAGCGGCGGATAAGATGTCCTAGCTGTAAATCACAACTCAGTATGCTGTCTGCCCATTTAAGGGGAAATGCTGAAGAAGAGAAGAAGGAGAAATAAGTAAATGTAACAAAATCATGATCTATTAATGAAACTGTGTGAGAACTAGCTGTTTGCAATTTTTTAACAAACAAAAAACACAAGACAAGTATTAGAGACTAAAAATTACAATAATATGTTTAGTCTTAGAAAGTTTTGAAGAATATAATTACATTATTGTAGGCACCTTTCCATCTTTCCAGATGACAGTTTAATATTTTCCAATGACTAAGTATGAGATTCACAACCTACAACAATGATGAGTGTGGTTACCAAGATCTACTCACTTTAAGAAAAGTCTTCTACAGTTATAGAATGGGATTTTTGGACTGCTGTTGCCATCTTTCGTATTTTGTGTGTTTCTTCTCAAATGCTCAGCTCTCATACTTTTTGCAGTTATTTCTTTCCTCATTCTCATTCCCTTCCTGGTTTGCCTCATTTATGCTACACGTTCGTTGCATTTTGTTCCTACGAATCACCCTCACTACCTTCATCATTCGTGTCCCGCTAGCACACATCTTTGTATCATAGACAACATCTTCTAACTTTCTGTAATTCACCATAGAAGATATCCTCCATTCTCCAGGTGGAACCAGCCAGATAGTTAAGGTAACCATAATATCTTGTTTTTAAGTATCGACGTGACAGTCTGGGTCTACGTAGAAAACGCTAATGTTCCAGCAAAAACGGGAAAATATGGTCACAATAACGACAGAACAACAGATGAACTGAACTGCTTCATATGTCGTACCCTAACTATTTAGGGCAATAAATTACACCCGTACTCTAGAAAGACCTCATATGATGTAGTGATATCTCATAGGACAGAAGAATAGTATCACGCATCACTTCAACAATTCCTAAAGACAGAATATGAAACTAAATTATTGGACACATGTCACCAGTTCTTAAAAGCAAATATGTAATAATTGACACCGAAAGAGCACTTTTCAATACTGTATCTTTTCCAGCATTGTGTTACCAGTGCCAGACATGGACACGACAACAACAGAGACAAAAAATCTAAACAACAGAAATAAATGTCAATGGTGAATTCTAAATGTAAGTGGAAGAGACAGGATCAGAAATGACAACAACACGAAATAAGCTGGGGTGGAATCAGTATTAAACTACATCATGAGACAATAGATCAAATGGTTTTGTCATGTGCCAAGACTACCACTAAAAAATGCACCACAGAGAGCCCTATAACTTAGACATAATGGAAGCAGAGCTAAAGGTCGACCATGCAAGTCATTAATAAATGAAATATCCAAGGCCTCACATACCAGCATCTGTGTAGCATATACCAAAGATTGCACCTGATGCTTCTTCAGATTCTGATGCTAAAAGGCAGAACAGGACCAGAGAAGAAGGTGAAAAAAAGAACAATCTGTGCTCAACATATGGAATTAAATAATACATCAGTTGATCACACTGAAACAATCTCTTCGACAACTTTAATTTTATTTGTTTGCAGTTTTGTAAATAAGTCTTGACTGTGAGAGTAGTGCAGAAGCTAGATGCTTGTCAGTTGATCTGAAGGTCTTGAGTTTAATCCTTGCTCCATCTGCCAGAGATTCAAGGAACCAACAGTCTGCATACAAATTGCAGTATGCAAAACTCAGGTACTGGTACAAAACCAAAGTCCAGAAATAGATGAACTACTAAGTCTTTCCGCCAGGGTTTACACCCAAATGTGCTGCTATTGGTGTGAAACACGTTCTTTAAATTTTTTAACAGTGAAGAGCAATATCTATTTTAATATTGTATCTGACAGCAACTGTATTTTTGTCTACAGTGGATGGTGAGACTGCCACTCTTGGTTACAAAAAGTCTGTGAAAGATAGAGCAAAATCATTCATTGCAGGATACAAGTAAGGTTTACATTACATTCTGGCAACTGGCCGAACTCTGTGATTTAGATTATCAAACAGTGCCACTTATGGAACAAAGAGAAGAGAAAATATGCATAGAGAAATAACACAGAGAATCACTTTAACTGTATTTTCATGTTATTTAGATGTATAGACTGTTCTCTTTTGTGTACTTTATTGAAGCTATGGGTTCCATAACAAAGTGGTCAAGTCATTTCCGTTGTGCTCTGAGGTTATGGTTTCACTTCGTGGACATGTCATTTAAGTTCACGAGTGCCATTTTTACAGAGATCCTTGGGGATCATCTTTAGAGCTATGGAGTTTATGCCTTAATGACATGTAGCTATCCATATAAAAAACTGCAGACTAGAAATATTCCTATAAGCAAATGCAGATGAGACAGGTTAATATTTTTTGTAACACATAAAAGAAATATGAGGCTATAACCATATTTCAAAGAGAGGCAGACTAGAAATGTTCATGTGAGGAAAGACAGTCAAGAAATGTCCATGTAAGGAAAGGCAGATTATAAGTGTTCATAATCGTAAATGTAAACTATAAATACTCATGTAAGGAAATGCAGACTATAAGTGTTCATAATCGTAACTGTAAACTATAAATACTCATGTAAGGAAATGCAGACTATAAGTGTTCATAATCGTAACTGTAAACTATAAATACTCATGTAAGGAAATGCAGACTATAAGTGTTCATAATCGTAACTGTAAACTATAAATACTCATGTAAGGAAATGCAGACTATAAGTGTTCATAATCGTAACTGTAAACTATAAATACTCATGTAAGGAAATGCAGACTATAAGTGTTCATAATCGTAACTGTAAACTATAAATACTCATGTAAGGAAATGCAGACTATAAGTGTTCATAATCGTAACTGTAAACTATAAATACTCATGTAAGGAAATGCAGACTATAAGTGTTCATAATCGTAACTGTAAACTATAAATACTCATGTAAGGAAATGTAGACTAGAAATGTTAATTTAATCAAATGCAAGATGCACATGTCTGTGTAAAGACATGCAGACTAGAAATATTAATTTAATCAAATGCAAGATGCACATGTCTGTGTAAAGACATGCAGACTAGAAATATTAATTTAATCAAATGCAAGATGCACATGTCTGTGTAAAGACATGCAGACTAGAAATATTAATTTAATCAAATGCAAGATGCACATGTCTGTGTAAAGACATGCAGACTAGAAATGTTAATTTATTCAAATGCAAGTTGCACATGTCTGTGTAAAGATGCAGACTAGAATTGGCTAAAGGATTTGTTTTTGCTTGTACAACAGATCCAGTATGAGACCAACAAGCATGATCAACGTGAAAAATGACGTCAGACTGCCATCAGCTCTTGAGAGTCCACCCAAGACTGAGTTTCAAAAATTTGTACAAAAGTGGACTCGCTATGTTGATAACCACAGGCTACAGATTTTCTGGGTGACCCTGTACACACTCGTGACAATTGGGATATTTGTGGAAAGAGCTTACTGTAAGTACAACCTGGCATATCTATATTCACCACAATTTATATTATATATTAGCACAATGTTTTTTTAAGGCCCTGTTTAGGCTCATTTTTTCTCACTGATCAAAGTAAAAAAAAAAAGTAAGTAAAGTTCCTTTTTCCACACCTTTAGGCGTAAAGGGCGTATATTTTTAAAGACCAATCGGCACACGATGGATAATGTGGTCAGCATTACACCTGCTGCCTTTACTTTCCAGGACTGCACCCGGTACCCACTCAAGGCTGGGTCGACCTGGGAGCCAACGTCATTTTTGAATAAAGTCCATCTCGTCAGGGAGCAACCCACGACCTTCCGATCAGCACGCGAGCGACTAACCGCTACGCAACGGCCACTCCCACAGATCAATGTAGTAAATAGTAAAGCCCTTTCATGTGCCACTTGGGCATGTAGTTCACATTGTGAGAAAGAAAGGCATGCAAGATTATTTTTGAAGTTATCAAGAACTGAAAACTATTAGATGTGGAGTAATATCCTCACCTATAAATAAAGGACCAATTTCCACGCCTTCAGACGTGATGGGCACATAGGGCTAGACATGTTTTATAGAACAATCAGCACTTGCAAGCTGATGTGGACAACAGCAAGCCGGCTACCTTTACTTCCGAAGACTTTACCTACCTATTTAAGGCTGGGTCGACCTGAGAGCCAAGGCCATTTATAAAGGGGAAAAAAGCCCAGCGCCATCCAGACATGGGACCAAAATACAGTGCTTAACCCTCTAGTGCTGCATACTAAAGAATTGACATCCGACGACACAAGAAGACACTATTTAGATAAGAATCCAACAGGGACAAATCTAAGAAACCATTTCCAGCTATAAAACAGTTTTATTAAGGTACCTGATGGTTATGGGGCAACCTGTAGTCCAATTTGGATGTGATAACCTCCTATACTTTTATTAAAAACAGTAAGCACTTGTGTAAAAATGTATACAGTAATAATACTTGAAAACAAAATATAAGTATCTGTGTAATACTGACACACTGAAAGTTGTAAAAATAATTATAGTATATTACGGCACAGCACTAAAGTCTTATGGTGACTGAAATAATTATTATATTTATCTTGCGTACAGATTATTCATTTGAACGTGAACATGCAGGACTACGACGTTTAGCCGGATACGGCGTCTCCGTGACCAGAGGAGCAGCCAGTGCACAAATGTTTACATATGCCAGTCTTTTAATTACCATGTGCCGCAATACTTTGACTTTTTTCAGGTATGGTATGCACTAATTTGTTGGGCTCAACAGACACACACATATACACAAATATAAATTAAAGGTATTCTTAACCTTAAAAAATATTTTTTGTAAAACAACACAACCACATTATTCTTTTGCCCTTAATCACGTTTCAGTATATGTATTGTAGGTCTCCCTTTATTTCTGTTGCCCTGTGTTTTATTCTACTTTTTCAATATTTTAAACCCTTGCGTTTCATTGCTGCAGATATTATCTGATTTCCTGCCTCCACCATCCCTGTGATTGGTCTTCTCTTTCCAGTTGGTGACTCCAAGAGTTTGTTGGTCAGCTGGATATTACCTTGCTACAGTTTTCTTGGTCTGCCTTGTGGTCTAAAGCCATTCATCTCCCTTGTGTATGCAGATTTGGCCTTTCTGTAATCTGTCATTCTCATCATCTGCCACAGCCATCTCAATTTGAGAGTTCCAAAAACAAATCAAACAATTACAAAAATAACAGGATTTTTCAATGTGTGTCCTGTCCAGAAGCAATTTTCTCTCTTCTCTTTTTTCATTCACCTAGGCTTTATTTTCTCCATAAGCCACACATTTGTGATTCGGTTACACTATTTTATCCTTCTATGCTGTACAGACATCAATTATTGAATTTGTTTTGCATTTTATAGGTAATTCTTCATGTTTCTGATCCGGGTACTAATTTGACATTAAACTTGAATATTCAACAGATAAAATGGGGTAAAGAAATACGAGAAATATCTGGCCATCACTAGCATCAGCAACATGATGTCTATATTGGACATACGCTAGAACAAACGAACAGAAAATCACCAGGCGGGCACTAAAATGGGAAATACTGGAATTATTGAGTTGATAATGCTCCCAAGAAAACTAAAATAAAGTTGATAAGAGAAACCAAAATAGTTGGACTGGATTTAATCCATGATATTGAAATGATCGCACGGACTAGAATGCAATGGCAGATTAGACTGCGGGCCCTATGGGATAAAATGGCACAACAGGACTATAATGGCATCCGTCAGTCCCGGGGGACTATGGAGATGTGCCGCTGGCTTTGGGAACAGCATCTGCTGTGACTGTAAAGTCAGATGCGGGAATGGCAGTCTTTGCCACACAGGATACACACAAAAGCAGATACTCTCTCGTTGTGAGGCAGTTTTACTCTCCGGTGTCTCCTCTCCACAGCTCGTTGTGTTCGGTTTCTTTCAAAATGTGACAGTCCGTCTTTCACTTTCTGTCTCCATAGTAGTCGATCTGCAGCTGATTTTTCCCATGTCTCTGTGCCTATGTTGGTATCTATTAGGTCACGTTTGCATACATCTTTATAGCGCAGCTTTGGCCTTCCTGTAGGTCTATTCCCAGTTACCAATTCACCATATAGGAGATCTTTTGGAATACGACCATCCTCCATGCGGGAGACATGTCCCAGCCAGCGCAGACGTCTTTGCTTCAGTATACAATACATTGATGGTATTTTTGCTCTTGTGAGCACACATTCGTTGGAGAGGCACAACAGGACAGTGAATAAATTTGATAAATTAGTTTATTGAATACTGGAGTTGAAAAATGCATTTATATGCATGCATTTACGCACGCGCACACACATATGCACACACACACACGCACACATATAAACACAAATATATACACACACACACCTCAAATATACATATATATGTTGTTAAGCTAATTATTTTTAAACAAAATCTTACCCTTTGTGTTAAATCTGGTCTATTTAGTTACGACTGTATTTCTACCGACACAATTTTGTTTACTTCTGTTACTATTCACATATTTCTTCATGTACACTTTTTTTTGTCAGGGAGACATTTCTGCATCGCTTTATACCCTTTGACAACTTCCATGACATGCACATCTATGTAGCATTTCTTGCAGTTTTGTTTTCAGGTAAGGGGAATATAAAATAACTAATTTAATATATAAATACACACACACACAAAGAAAAAAAAAGATTACAATGATAATGAGATAGCCATTTGTAACAATTAACTCTTCTTCAGCCAGTTTATATATTACTAGATATTTGCCTGGCTTCTTCCAGAATAGTAAAAGTTTGATTCTCTTTTCCTCTACTTCATCTTCGTCTCCCCTGCTGCAGTATATGTAATAGAAACTTTATGGAGAAGGGAGCACAACTTGAGCCTTTCATCTCCAAGTTCCTCTTGGATGCCTTTATTTCCTCAACCTGTCAGTGTCCTATTTTAGTGCATGTCTGGTGATTCTCTGTTCGTTTCTCTTCTTTTTCTTTAGAAAATAATTGTTTAAAGGGTGTGGAAGCCTATCGTTGTCATGGCTCAGGGTGGAGTCAGTCAAGTCTTTGAAATCTTTCAGATAAGAAGGCTTATATGATGTCGGTGGTACATCACGACTTTCCCTGTTACACACAGCTTGGTTTCAATTGGAATGGCAACCAGCCAAAACTGAGATCTTTCTCTATTGCTTTATATGCAACTGCTACAAATCTCTCTAGCACATGCTCAATATTATGTGACGACTTTCCACATGGGAAAAGTTCTAAATACCCAGTCTTGAATATGTTGTACATATGGCTACAGACACGCTCTAAATATAATGGTCTGTTTTTTCTGTGTGAGGTAACATGGCAGAGGTAACTTCATACATCAGCTTGAATGTATTGAAAAACAGCAGCAGTCAATCAGAGTTTGCTCAGTAAAGTTTATCATTTAACTTTATATGTGTACTGTCAACGAAATACTGAAACAAGAACAATCAGTAAATAAGTAAGTGGAGAATCTTTTTGAGCTGTGTTGATTATATGGTTCTAGCCTCATAATATTTTAAGTGTCATCAAAAAAATATAAATCCAGACAAAATGTAGAACTAGTCTCATTCACAATAAGGACAAAATGAAAGCCTTCATCAGCAAGTAGCACAAACGGACTAAGATACAATTACATACAACCGAGGCTTTTTTTATTTCTAGAAAGAAAAAACAAGATGTTAGTACCCATCATAAAATGTATAAAATGTGTCTTTTACAGTAGTGCTGAAAAAACAACAACAACAGATTCCTTAAATGAGGGCGGTATTGCATACTGTTATGTTCCGAAAAGAAATTAACAAAAAAGCCGCATCAACAATACATAAATTCACTTACCTGCCACAAAATCTCCATATCACGCTTGGACTAGGGATACGCGTGTTTATGCTTGTTGCAGGAAATTTAAATTTTAAGAGCCAGTTGGCATTCAGTAGCAAGGTGATCAGTACAATGCCAGCCATACTTACAAGACTGAACATCGCCTGGTGCCAACCAGTTTAAGATCAACATGAGGGAAAAGTATGTTTAACTTTAGGAATATTAATTTGTGAGGTATTGAAAATGTTATGTTACTGTGATTATGAAATAATACACACAAATTGTCTCTTTTATTTCAGTCATACACGTTATAGGTCACATAATAAACTTCTTCCACATCTGCACTCAGTCTTCTGATGACCTGAACTGCTACTTCAGAGAATACTTCCGGGCGTAAGTTCCATTATTGTAAAACCTTTTGTTTTATTGGCCTGTAACTCATCTACAGACCAAAGAGTTTTACCTCTTTTGACCCTTTGGAAAATGTAATAGTAAAATAAGATTGCCAAAGATCTGTGTAATTAGCAATGATACTTTAACCCTTAAATGGAATGAAAGAAAACTATAGTTAGCATGCAGACTGTTGAATGTTGAATTTAGAATTTAGCACTCGGGACACTCACATAAATGCTCAGTCCCCATCTTCAGAAGCAAAGGAAGAATTCCATTTCTGATGGTGACAGTAACCATCTGATTGTAAATCCGTTTCCTCCTTCCCCTGAGTTTTGAGCGTCGGCCAGATCTCCTGGTAGCTCCTCGCAGCACCATTCTTCTCAGACAGTAAGGATCCATTTGCGTCTTTGCACTGTTCATCCGTTTCATAAAGGCCCTCACAATATCTAACTTGTCATAAATCAGTTCACCACCAAGTGGTGCAGAGCTAGCCAGTCTATCTGACTGCTCATTTTCCAAGACACCGACATAAACTGGAGAAAATATCCAGAGGATGCCAACTAACGGGGACCATTAAAGTGATGCTTGCCACTCTGCACGAAGTTTAACTCTATTATGTAAAGGAGGAGTTTCAGCTAAATACAGTCTACATATTTGAAGCTATTAATGTTTCGTTTTTCCCATGTGGGTTCTGGAGCCGTAGTCTGATGGGAGGCAGGGAATAGACCCACTGCCTTCCTAATAAGTAAGTGGTAAAAAGCAACTCATTATTGGCTATCAGAAATCAGATATGTTAGGCCAAAAGTGGCCTATATTGCAGCTATAAACCACAAAAAAATGTGTCATCCGCCCTTTTAAGAGCAAACAGAAAAAGAAATAGAAGTTTAAGAAGAAGAATAAGGACATTGTGAATTTTTCTGTGTCTTCCTTATGCAATATGTGGCTTAGGGAAATTGAAAAAAAAAAAGATTTATCGTACATGGCTTGGAGTATTATTTCCATGTTTCCTTTTCTTGTTCACAGAACTGATGTTCTAGCCAGTTTCCACTACTGGACTTATCAGACAATAACAGGTAATGTTTTACAAACTGAAAACTGCATATAAACACTTTTTCCCTCAAGTAATGATAATTTGTTTTACATATATTGATTATATACAATAAAAAGCATGTCATGTGTGAATATTATTTTTGTGTGTAAAGCTGAGTATACTAAAGAAATTGTACAATTTATGTTTGAAAACAAAGTGCATATTATTGATAAAAAAAAAAAAAAGAAGTAAAACACACGTTACAGTTTTGTAATTGTGGTTATTGCTCGATTTTCTGTCTACTGCAATGTCATAAAGGACTGAAAGAATTAACTCTTGCTCCTAAAATTGTAATTTTCTGCAAGTGTACACTTGTCGAAAAGCATCAAGCTTTACATACAAGAAATTCATAGACAAGAAATACACTTTAAAATTACTATGTCTTTAGAATGTGCCCAAATCACAAGTCTCCTATTTTACTGTACAATTGATGTTTCCTTTACTTCTTAAAAAAAAAAAAAATTTACAAAAATAAACATAAATTTCCTAATGTGTTTGTCAGAGACATAATTCCTGTCTAGCAGATGTGTGGCTCGTTGGTAGTCTACTGAAAGGCAATCTATCCATACAACACACTAAGCTAAACACTTACAGATCACACACATCAATCTTCAATGCACAGAACAATAAACTGTAGGTAATCAACCCTAGAGTTTATTGTTCTGTGCATTAAAGACTGATGTGTGTGTACTGTAAGTATTTAGCTTAGACGCTGGCGTTGGATAGGACACACACTGAGGAAGGAGAACAGCATAACTAGAATGTCTTTGCACTGGAACTCACAGGGGCATAGGAATAAAGGAAGGCCAAAAAACACATGGAGAAGAGAGCTGGAGAATGAAGTTAGAAAGATGGGGAGGACATGGGAAGAGCTCCATGCAATGGCGAAGGATAGAAAACGACTTGGCGTGAGTTGGTTGAGGGCCTATGCTCCATTGGGGGATATAAAGGCAGAAAAAGAAGAAGAAGAAGAAGAAGAAGAATCAACCCTAGAAACGATGGCGTTCCACTATCTTAAACGCTGCCATCAGGACTTTCAAATTGCTACTGCCAAAAATGCTCCCAAAAAATTGTGAAAGCTGCAAGACTACCAGAGAGTTACAGCAATTGACTATGAAGATGGTAGACGATTAGTACTATCGATTATTGTAGAAGGAGTGTATTGCTCGCTTGGCAGGTTAGAAGTTGCAAATTATCACCAGGTCCTGATTTTCCATGATGTACTGGGTGGAGAATGCAGAAATTACTATATGACCCCGCAAAAAAAAAAAAACAGTTGTATAAAGCAAACTTTCTTTGCTTTTTTTTAAATAGTTCAATAATTTGCATCCTAGTGTAATGACTCGTGACTAACAGGTACATATTCATAATTTTACAGGTGTTCCACAAAAATACACTTTTGATAACTATAATAATCAGCAACATGATTCTATAAGTGTATGTTTTACTTCTTCAGTCTCCAGTCATTTGACATTTTATAATTTCACAGTGTTGATCTTATTTATATTACTATTTCTTACTCAATGTTTCTTTTCCCAATACACCTTTCTCTGTATGCAGATATTTTTAAAATGGTTAACAAATAACAACACAAAGTAAGCAACAACAACAACAACAACAAATAATGAATCCTGTACTGAAAATACTCAGTATATGTTTAATAAATGTGAAATTGTCCAATCTGATGAATTCTTTCCTGCTGGATAAAAATCAAAGTTATTAAACATTTTTAATAAAAACCATTTCGTTTTGAAACAGGAATTATTTAAGGATTCATGTTGAGTGATTGTGTTGTTATATCGCACATACCTTATACGTACATTATCAGCAGTCAGTGGCTTTAAGCATTATTACAAAAATTATAAATAATAATGGTCTTTTCTTTCAGGTCTGACAGGGGTTGCTTTAATTTTAGTGTTGGTGGTCATGTATGTCTTTGCAATGCCATATGCCAGGAGGAATCTCTTCAAGTACTTCAGGAGCACCCACAAGTAACTATTTTCAATAAACAAAAGCTTTTTGTACAATTGTTTTTTAACAATTTCGAAATTTCTGCTGGGACTTTGTTTTATTAATCTGTTTTTTCATCAAACTGTTAGTAATAGTCAAGTTTGTTAGTATTTAAATGTTTGACCATTTTTTTTTTTGTTGTTGAAAATTGTATTTCAGATGACATATTTTTTTTTCCTATAAGAAAGTCGAACTCACTGATTTATATTCCGATAAGTAATTAAATAATCTGTGCTAATTTTTAATATTTTTTTTTAAAGTAAAAAAAGCAACGAACACGTTAAAATAGAGTTCAAGTTACCTCAAAGTGTGTTAACTGCTTTTAGTTGTATACTTCAAGTCACCCAAGACATTTTTATCACACCCACATTAAAAACATATTTTTATGATCTTTGCTCCCCTTTCAAATCAGTTAGGAAAAAACAGTGCGCTGTAATGTTCTAGAAAGCAAAAGCATCTGGGATGGTGTTGAACACATTCCCCACTGCGTGCTAATTCGTTTGAAAAAATGTGGATCTAAACATTATACTCAGTGTAGCACTGACACGAAAAAGGACTTTCACTTGTTGTTTTCTCGACTTTAACATATCTATATATACACATAGGGTGTATATATTCTTTGTCTTTGTGAATAACATTATCACATCCTTGTGGATAAGTTCAAACTGTAAATGTTAAATCTTTTGTTGGTATCTACAATTTACCTTCTAATAGAGCATATACTCCCAACCAGCTCACACAAAACCCATCACAGACTGTTTTTTTTTTTTTTTTTTGACTGACTGGATTTTACAGCTTCAGATTTGACCAAATACGAAGACTATTTCACACCAACCCTACGCAAACAACTCCTATGATATACTTTCCATCAAAGTAGAAATCGCAGTGACTGTTGGTTTCGTGCGAGCTCACATTTTTGTAATTCTTTGGATGTTAGTTTTTAGTTAGACTTCCAGCGACTCTGGTGTCTTCGTTATTCAGGTGTTAAATAAACACATGTTGACGACACACCAGTTGGATGATATGTTACTTTATTGTGGTTCCAACATGGCATCTTCTAGTCGCTGTCCTGTGTTTTTACTCGTCGTGTTAGGATCGATTGTCAGTACGGTTTCATCAAACACACACTTTGTTCAGAACATGGTTATCCTGCATACCATGTTTTTCTTTACTGCGAAGGAAATGTATCTCCAACAAAGCGCCACGTATCCTCAGAGTCGTTGTATGTGTCAGTTCTAGATACTGACTGTCTGACTTTCTACCCCACCAGGAAATCACACAATCGATAAACACCCGATGACACAATGTGCCACTATGTTGGTGAGGATCACCGTGGAGTGGTCACATATTTATGGCCAGGCTATATTGCGGCCCTTGGCAAACGCCAGAGTAGGGTTTCAAATAACGAAAAATTTCATCCTGAAAAATACGGAAAGTCATCGTATAAATGAATAGTTCTAGATAGCTTCCGATAAGCCATTTATCCTTAGGTGTCAGTGACTTCTCCGCGTTATCAGCAGTCAAACTTCATGGCAGTCATTTGTCTCGCAGAACTCGACCTTTCACTCCCGCTGTCAAACACTAACTTATTCTATCTCCTTTCTCACCTGCAAACCTCTGTTTTCATCTCACGGGTTTTGGCTTGCAATCGTTCATTCAAACACGGGATTTTGTGAGTCTCTGTCCCATCTCCCGGTTTTCTTCACTTGACTGACCCTTGATCCTAACTCGTCATATTGGGAACCGCATTGGGATTTTTGGGAATCATCATAATTATAGCGAGTAACAGTGGGGAAATGGCACATTAGGAATTTAAGAAAAATTTACAGGTATACAGTAGTATTTTACAAAAAATGTAAAATTGTTTTTCCTCTATAGCCTGTACATAGCTGTGTACATACTGATGTTTCTGCATGGCCATCATCGTCTAGTTCAACCTCCCTTGTGGCCATGGTACTTCATTGGTCCTGTGGTGCTGTTTGTCCTTGACAAGTTGGTGTCAGTCAGCAGAAACAAAGTCCTACTGCCAGTGCACAAAGCCAAACTTCTGCCATCAGGTATAACGTACTTTTAGAACCACCTTTACATAGTGGTAATATGATTGTTTTCTGAAACATAAACAGTTGTTGCCTTTTTAGGTACTTGATGTTTACAAACACATTTTATCATGCCTTTACTCAATCACTGAACACATTTTTATGCTATCTCTACAACGCAGGTTGACTTTGGAATCTTTAGGATATTAAATGGCGAAGCCCTAATCTCTTTCATAGTGCAACTCTTGTGCAGTTGTCAGAAAACTATGAGAACATTTCTTTAATGAACTGTCTCTTGTATGGCGAGGATTGTGAAATACATTTACTAACATCTAACCAAGGAAGCTGGAAAAAAAAGGAAAGGACTTTTTCGTACAACTTCACGCGTATTGTGCTTTAAAAAATCTATTTAGAAAATAAGATTTTTGAAATTAACTTTTCCAGAACCATAATTGAATGCTATGTAACAAAAAAGAAAAAGAACAATACTAAAATTCTAAGAACTGGGAAGAAACCCCTAAAATATTCTTTTACAATTTTAATTAAAGTTTTTTTTTTAAATTAACTGTTCCAAAAGCATAACTGGAACTAAAGGGGGAGATACTCAAATTCTGTGATCTGAAAATTATAGGAAGCTTCCTCATTAACAGAATCACTCTATGGTAATTAGCAAACTTTGACAACAATAAATGTCGCAGTGGTTTAGAGAGACTGGTTAACTAATGGCATGTTTCCTTGTAGTTAATGCAGGAGCTGACTGTTGCTATGTTTGACACTAATGACAGCTTGGATGATTAAAAATGTGAGGCAAGAGAACTTGTCACGGGTAGAGTGCTTTTGCCTGGCAGTGATACAAGCCAAATTCTGCGAAGGAATTTAAACGTGATCATAATTACCAACTATATTTTGATTTAGTTTGTAATCCAAATATTAGTTAATATTTTATTATGATAAATAGTTTAAAAAAATAAAGCTTCCTTCACAAATGCTAAACACTGAGTACTTAATTCAGACATTAAATCATTTATAGGATTACATTTCAGGTGTCATTCAACTGGTGTTCAAGCGACCTCTGACCTTTGACTATCATTCTGGCCAGTGGGTCAGAATTGCCAGTCCACAACTTGGCAAAGGAGAGTACCATCCTTTCACACTGACTTCAGCACCACACGAAGAGCATCTCAGTCTTCACATCAGAGCTGTGGGGCCTTGGACCACCAACCTGCGCAGATTATTTGACTCAAATCAAATCAGAACTACTCCACTTCCAAGGGTAAGCACAAGAAGGAGAATCTTTAGAACAGACTATATTTATATTTTGTGCTTTGTTTTATTTAGTTTACCATGTCTATCTTGATGATTGTATTATAAAGCCCGAGTTTTCATTGCCATGCATGTTATGCTTGCGCTGTACCGGTGAGATCAACACCTTAAATCTCTCAGTATCAAATAATCAATGTTCTGTAATTAAAACGTTCCATTGAGTCCAGGCCATCACAGTTTTTTTTTTTAATTGTATAGACATAGTTTATTAATTGTTTGATATTTATAACGCTGCATGTAAACTAGTACAGATGTTTTGAGGTGGAAACAAATGACAAATATCACATTTGTAACACAGGATGTGAGTGAGTCACATTTAACCCCAACAGGACCATACAACAAGAGACAAACACAAAATTTCACAGAATGTCACCGATTGGATGAAAATCGTCCATGCACAAGTGCCAGAAGCCCTATTCAACTTTTACGCAGTATTATGGCTCCCCAGCTATAGCCGATTAAAAAAAAAAAGGGGGGGGGGGTGGAGAAGGGGGCTGTGAAAAAACCCACACATTGCGTCATTTATAGGGGAGGTTTTATATATTACGGAACGTTGAGAAGTGTGCGTGTGTATATGTGCGTGCGTATGTGCGTTCGTGCGTGCGTATGTGTGTGTACATTGTAAATCACAAACCCTCTCTGTATTTCTTTTCGTTGTTTTTTTTATTAAATGAAGTGTTAACGCCTCCTAAATCATGACCAATACACAGGTTACATTTTCATTTGCCATTATGACTACAAAGTTTAACAGTCACATTCGCAACCCATGTTATTATGCATTTCTTTATTCATTGCGATAAGTAGCATATGTAAACTTTAGTTGGAGTTAGATCATTTTCAAAATATTCCTTATTACTTCCCTTGAAAAAGTTTTTTTCAAAATATTTTGTTGTTGTTATCTTCCTTTGAACCATATGTATTAATGTGTCTGAGACAATACATCTGTCTGCCTTCAAAACTGTTTAATACTAGTGTTAGTATTACAGGGGATGCTTCGGGTGCACTTAGGGAAATAATGACTAAAGATATGACAGCGATGGTGTCAAATTTGAAGTAGAAGACGAGATATTGAGAACAGAGTTTTAGCCCTATTTCCATTAGGCCTAGATAGAATGCAGCGTTGGAGACCGAGATGAGGAAAACAAGGGAATAATAAGACTTATTTTTCGCTGTCTTAGTTGAGGCCGGGCAATTCAATCTAGTACACACACACACACACACGTACTTGCACACACACACACACACACACACACACATATATATATATATATATATATATATATATATATATATATATATATATATATATATATATGGATGGACAGACTACAGATAGATTGATAGTGAGATAGACAGGGGAATACCTTTGTGTAAAGGCAAATAGATTGTTCAAAATATTACTGGATAATGAACAAATCCAACAAAACAATGGTTAAATAATTTTTACAAATGAATATAAATGTTGACATCTTTAAAAGAGGCATATTTATGTGAGAACTGCCACATAAAGTGAACGATAGAGTGGTGTGGGGACTGAGTGAATAAAGGTTAATTATCTGAAAACTTCTTGGAGAAGAGAAAAGAAGGATTTAAAAAAAAAGAGAGAAAAAATATAAAGAAGTAAGATTTTTGCATGTGACACTTTATGATTATTTATTAGTCGTTGTGTGTTCACATTTGAAATTATCAGCACCATAAAGCCATACACAAATAATAATAAAAAAATATTTTTACATAACACTAGTTATGCAATTATATTTAACTGAGCTAATAAAAAAAAGATTTAAAAAATCAAGTAAAATGGATGGAAATTATGCTGTGATTATGACCAGACATATATAGAAATAAAACAATAATTGGACATAATGGGAAAAAAGGGTAACGTTATTATAATAAGTTTATAAACATATGACAAAACTGAGTTAAAAACTACAATAGTATATGAGACATAAAGGCTGACAGAGGAAAAAAAATTAACAACACTGGAGGGTAGTAGAAATAAAATTAAGAAGAGGTGAAAAGGACAGAAAAAAAAAAAGAAGAAAAAGAAAGAGGTTAAGAAGAAGACCAAACAAAAGTGTCATTACAGTGATGCGTTTTGTAAGAAGCTGTTTTCTGAGGGGAAAAAGGGGGGGGGGGGGTGGGAAGAAAATTAAAATATTGGAAGTATATAGGAAGTATATAAGAAAGTAATAAATATGTTATTTTTTTGAAGACTGGACTTCATGAGAGCAATTTGCTTTAAATTCAAAATTAATTATAACAGGTTTGGAAATAGTAATATATTAGAATATTTTCTTTCTCAAAACATATTGATTGAACAATTTTTTTCTAGTATCAGATATACCTTGACGGTCCGTTTGGGGAAAGTCATCAGGACTGGTATAGATACTCAGTCTCTATACTCATTGGTGGTGGCATCGGTGTCACACCTTTTGCTTCCATTCTGAAAGATATTGCCAACAGAGCCATGAATGTCAACAGACTACCAGTTCAAAAGGTAATTGTTGAGATTTTTTATAACAAAAATTTACTATAAATTAAGCACACAAAGCCAATGAAGATAGACTGCATTAAATATTAAACAGTTGCCAGGTGGTCTTTGTGGTGAAGCAATTAAATGATTTGCTTGTAATGAGGAGAAGGTTGTGCGATTGTGTTCAGACTGCATCGTTAACAAATACAGTTTTTAGGGATCCCAGGGTCATCACTGTAGCTATGAAGTTCATGCTTTGGGCCACATTTTTTTTTAGGTAGCCTGCTTCAGAGTGCCAGCTATGTAACTACCCCTACGAAACTGTTAAACACTATTTCTTTGAGTGCCCAAAACTCAGCGAGTCTAGAAGAATGCTACTCCATCCGAGACCAGACAAGTGGAACACCTTGTACGGAGGAAAAAAAAACAGCTTGTGAAAACATGCAAATTTCACAACATGGCATTGTGCCAAAGGGCGAAAGCTCATGCGCCGCTGGATAGATAACAACAACAACAACAACACAATAGGTAGCCCGCGACTTTGTGAAATGAAACCAAGCCAGTTTCATAAAATCTTGAATCCTCTCACCGGTTATCGTCTTTGATCATATGTACATTATAGGTAGCCCTCGACTTTGTGAAAAGAGACCAAGCCAGCTGCATAAAATCTTGAATCCTCTCACCGGTTATCATCTGTGATCATCTGCACATTATAGATAGCACGCGACTTTGTGGAAAGAGACCAAGCCAGTTGCATAAAATCTTGAATCCTCTCACCGGTTATCGTCTTTGATCATAAGTACATTATAGGTAGCCCGCGACTTTGTGGAAAGAGACCAAGCCAGTTGCATAAAATCTTGAATCCTCTCACCGGTTATTATCTTTTATCATCTGTACATTGTATACTCTGGGAGAATGCTGTTAATCTATCTTGTGATGCTGTCTTTCCATAAGTACCCTCTGCCTCCTGCTTGTCTGATTTTGAATTTGTCTCTTCAGTAATACTTTTGTAAAAGTGTTACAGCTTTTATTGTGAATGAAATATTGTATACAAGACCTGTAGTGGCCCTTGAAACTGGAAAACAAACTTCTGGCAATTAACGGCGCCTTGGATGTTTACCCAACGGGGGTGAGAGGGCAGTGGATGAGAAAAATGAAGCTAAAACATTACCTTGAGACCTGGTCAGTGTAAAAAGACAATCAAAATGCCGTGAAAAGGAAAGATTTGTTACTGCAACACACAGTGATATAATCACCAACATGTGTGGTCACTGTTGTTTCTGGTGAACTGTGAATGTACTATTTATTAACTGTCAGTTAAAATATCCTGCATATTTACTTGCAAAATATGTCATTATCACTGATAAGTCACATCAAATGAACTCTAAATAGAGTTTTCATTTCCACATGTTTGAGGCGCACTGGTTATAATACAGCCAATTATTTGTATAGATCAAACAACATTAGGGGTATCATCATTATCCCGTAACACAGCGTGTCGTTGGATCACCAGTTTCTTTTGACTGACTGATCAGCGCTCTGCACCTTTGTCGGTCAGAAGTGATGGACTTTATGGTTGCATGCATGAGGCCTGTCCAGTCAGTCAGATTCTGTGACCAGGTCTTTCTTGGTCTGCCTCTTCTCCTCTTTTCCTGTACTGAACCCTGTAGTATTGTTTTTGAGAGGTTATTAGATTTTTTTTCCATTTCCATACCATTGCATTTTTCGCCTTTTCACTGTATTTAAAAGAGGGTCAAAGTTGTTAATGTGCTGTATAATCATGTGGTGAACCTCTTTGTTTGTAATGTGGTATCTGTTCAGTATTCCAAGACTTTTTCTGAAATATCGCATTTCTAATGCTTGTATCTTCTTTTCGAGTTCAGCTGTTGAGATGCACGTTTCACAGCCATCTGTAACAGTACTGTTATTGACTAGGATTGCTCTGAGCAATTATATCTTAGTTTTGCATGAAATGGTTTTTTTTTAAAAATCTCCACAATGTTTGCTGCTTGGCAAAGACTGATGTTGTCTAGACAATCCTAGACACGATTTCTAGTCTTGACCACAGGTCACTTAAAATGGAAGCTAAACATTTGAAATGATTGACTTTTTCTAATTTGTGACCCTTAACATACATTGGTGAAGTTATGCCAGCTGGATTATTAGTCAACAGCAAAGTGAGTCTCGGGCAGTATTTCAACCCTGGCTGGGCCCGCTCCTCTCCAGGTGGCCATTTCCTTATAAGCCTGTATCCTCACAGATGCAGTTTCCAGTCTGCACCAAATGTGTATTAGGTACACCATCATCAGGTAGCAGGTCTTTTGCAGAACGTCGCTCTCATCACGGTCTGCCTGAAAGAAACTCAGTCTCTCGCCATTTCTCCCGCCCCAAGCACTTTCATACTCAAGGAGTCCTTTATATGTGACCTTTAGGTATATGCTGAGTCAAAATCATACAAGCCACCTATTTCTCAAGACATGTTTTCGTATTCAAGAAATATTGCCTTATCTCATGTTAGTAAATTTCATTGTCACCATCAGTTTAAAAATAGTCGTGATATAATTTTATCTCTATGTAGCCTAAATCTCGAGGCACTGACCCTTTTCTAATAAATGCATTCCTCCATGTCATCGTCTTAGATAATCCAGCATTATGTATTAGTATGATTGTTTTTATTCTATAACCTAATTTTCCAGTTGTCACAAAGTTCTCAACACGTAACATGCACCCCCCACCCTTTTTTTACCCCCCCCCCCCTTTTTCCTCCCCCGTCACCCACAAAATATTTTTTTTTTCAAATTGTAACTACATATAATATTTTACTGTCATTACCATTTTCCCCCAGACAAACAGCTTAGATGATTTGTCAAATTGTATAAATGATACTAACATACAATTTTGCATATAAAAACTAATTAAAGTTCTGTGCAGGGTATTGATAACAAATTTGTCTGTCGTTTTGCTGATTTCGCTAATTAAAAATTCTAAATATGTTATATCATTACATATTTTTACTACAAAGAACTGTCCATGTTTTACATATGTATCTCAATTGTTCACTAGGTATATTTTGTGTGGGTGACTCGTACACAGCAGAGCTTTGAGTGGATGACAGACATTATTCGCCAGACTGAAGCTGCAGATGTGAATGACTTCCTTGATGTTCAGATCTGTATCACACAACTGAAAGAACAGTTTGATTTGAGAACAACCATGCTGGTAATATATTCTTTGTACTTCTATTTGTGTTAACGATACAAGAACAACCATGCTGGTAATACATTCTTTGTACCTCTATTTGTGTTAACGACCCAAGAACAGCCATTATTATCATCAACCTGTCAAGCCAAAATGCCTCATTTAGGGCTTAAGCATGTCGTAAGAGTCAGCTGGCTGAGGGCTTGCTTCGAAGTCGGAGTGGATCACACTGAGAGGCAAGGAACAGTCTGCATACACATAAGTCAGATCTGTAAAAAGAACCTGCACACAACACTTAGGATCTCAAACAAGACTAATGTCTAGAGGTGAACGAGCTGCCACAATTTTCCGCTGGAGTTTACAGCCAGTGAATGGGAAGAAGAGGACATTCTGTTATTTCCTGTGCAATTCTTTTGATATCATGGATGGAAACTAGTCCAGCACCTTTGTCTTCTATTAAGAAAGAACAGCCATGATGGTATCATTTTTTAAATACTTCAAATGGTGTTCATGCTGTGAGAAAAACCACGTCAATAAACGTTTTTCAAACTATTAATTGTTATCTTGATAGGAGAACAGCCATGCTCATGGTGTACTTATTGTACATCTAACTGTGGTAGCGGCCATGGTGTGGTGGCTAGACGCTCGCCTGTGGATCCGAAGGTCATGGGTTTAAATTTAAAAAAAAGTTGTAGATTTAAAAACAAATTACAGTGTCCCCCATATTATTCCATCCTTAAATGGGTACTAGGTGAAGTCCAGGAAAGTAAATGAGGTTATTGTGATGTTGACCACATTACCCTTCACGTGCCACTTGGTATATATAATACAGATTTAGTACTACATGCCGAATTCGATGTCGAAAATGGTAATTTACATCAACTGTGTTGATGTTATGTGAACAGCCATGGTAATAACAGTTCCTTTTTACCTCTAATTATGTTTACGATAGGCGAGAAACCATCCTGGTTATGTATTGTTGTATATCTATTTGTGTTTAGTAGAAAACGAAATGTGCTGGTACTAAATTCTGCTTATCTTGTTTTGTGTTCATGACTAACTGACGTTTTACCCCGTCAAGATATCACACGGAGTGATACAAATTCGGTGACTCAACGTGCCACCATTCAGATGAGCATCACCCATGGAGAGGTTCCAGAAACCCCATTCAGGTTGGGTTATTCTAGGGACGCTGGCAATAACCAGGGCAGGACATTAAAAAAAAACACAAAATCCGTATGACATGGGGACAGAGAATATATAATGTGTTCATAATAGAAGAAGAACCATGCTGGCAATTTTTTTTCCTGATACTCTGTGTTTAGGAAATTGGAATAACCTTGTTGATAAAGTTTTCTTTGTGTCTTTTTATATTTATGATTTACAAACAGTCAAGCTGGTAGTGTTCTTCTTGTACCTTGAAAAACATTTATGATTTGAAAACCTAATGTTAGTAATAAATTATTTTGTCTCGAACAGTGTAAAGAGTGGTTGCAGGCTAAGAATCAAGTTTATTATACCAGTCAAAATAACCCACCCACCCCCCTTCCAACAATCCACCCCCCACCCCAAACCCTCCTCCCTCCTCCCTAAATAAAAAAAATATATATATATAAAGCAGACAACAAACAATTTATTATTCACTAATGCTTTTTAAAAAAAAAATTCTCATTTACTAGTTCGCTTGAAATAGATTATTTATATTTTTAATGTTGTCTCTGGTATGAACTTAATAAATTTTAAGATTTTTCTTGATTGTTAATGAAACTGCATCTAGAGAAACTTACTTTCATTTTGCAACTGTTTTTCAGTACATTTGTGAACGACATTTCCAGAAAGTTGCTGGGGTCAGCATGTTCACAGGCTTGAGGGCCAAGACTCATTTTGGCCGTCCAAAGTTTAACCCATTTTTCCAGGGTCTCAAAGTTGTTCACAAAAATGTAAGTGTAATAATTGTAGTTGTAGAATTGTAAAAGATCATCATCTGCAATGCACACAATGCACTCTAGTCTATTCACACGGATCATAAAAGGATGTTCTGAATTTTCAAAGCTGTACAAATATTTTAGTAACAGCTTAGCTACAGAAATGGAAAAACGCTATACCTAGAAAATTAATACAGAGGGTTTAATTTAAAAAAAATCCTTTTGTTTGTTCATTTTGTTTCAGCTTAATAGTTACTTGTTGTGTTTACTCATTAATTCCTCATACATATATCTACAGTGAAGTCTGTATAACATGAGGTGTCCTTTACTTCATATACAAACCCTAAACTTTGGAATGAAATCCTTTTTGCAATTCTAATACTTATAAAGAAGCAGTAATATGTTATTTAGTCTGACTATTTTTTAAAAAGTGCGAACTGCAGCACATCTTCTTAAATAAGGAGACTGATTCAACCTATTTTAAAACCACTGTTCTATTGTTAAACTAAACATTTCCATAATGTAAACTAATTTTCAAGGCAGTTGTGAAAATTCCCTAAAATAGCACGTACGTTCATGGAATGATAGGTTAATCATTTCGATCCACACTAATTTAATGTAAATTAATTTTATTCTTTTTGCATGAATAATATTGTTCCACTACCCAAAGTATCACACACACACACACACACATATATATATATATATATATATATATATATATATATATATATACAGTCAACACACACACACACACACACACACACACACATATATATATATATATATATATATATATATATATATATATATATATATATATATAATATATATATCTATATATTTACACATATATATATATATATTAAATTGTGGAAAAATTGTTTTGTTAGACAAACTGCTATATATAATCTATATAGAAATGTAAATTTTGACCAAGATAAAAACACTTCATTTTCTTTCTCATGCCACAGGTTGGGCAGATTGGTGTCTTCAGCTGTGGGCCTCCAGCAATGACCAACAGTGTCCAGAAGGCTTGCACTGAACAGAATTCTTTCACTGGACCATCACTCATTCACCATTATGAAAACTTTTAACTGCATATTTTAATTTTTTCATTCTGACAGTTATTCATTTGCTATCATATCCTCATGACAAACAAGCTCTGTATTTGATTCGGTGTTTTTTTTTGTATGTTATTATGATTATGTCTTACACAAGCAAAACGTTATTCATACCAAATACTGAAAAATACTGATATTCCCATTTTTGTCCATAATATACTACAGAAAGATGCCATAGACTGCAGTAAGTTGCTACACACTATTAAATAAAATTTATGAATACATACTTTATTAGAATGTTAGTTTGCTCATTATTTTTTGTCTTAGGAATTCACATTTCTTTCATCTCAAATAGTTTAAGTTTCTAAACATATATTTGTAAGCATTTACTCTGCCAAATGGACTTGAGAAGCTGCATAGAATATATTCTCTAATTATTAAAAAGGAAAAAATCCAGTGTTAGGATCACTTTTTTTGTCAAGTTACAAAGTACTAAACTGACATTTTTTTTCAGCCTGAGAAGGGGTTTATACAGGTTAAAAATGTTCTCTTTTTTTGTGTGTTTTTTCTTTAAATTAACAATCTTATGCAACAAATTCCTGTTGGTAAATTTTAGAAAATAAATTATTTTATGTTGTATAGAATCAGTTTTGATATACATCTGCGAATCCTGGACGCTGTTGGAAATATTTTTTGGGAAATAGGTAATTTGATATTTTGAAATAGGCGAAGCCAGGTTATCACAAACATCAGAAAGAGACAGCATCCTTTTTTTTGGCCTCGCTATAAAATCAAATAATCTAAATAATAAGGACACAAAAAATACATTGCACAATTTATTGCTTTTGCAGCATACTTTTTTTTTTGGTCTCGCTATCAAATCAAATAATCTAAATAATAGGGACACAAAAAATAACAGCATCCTTGCAGCATCATTTTTTTTTTTGGCCTCGCTATAAAATCAAATAATCCAAATAATAAGGAAACCAAAAATACATTGCACAATTTATTACTTTGCATTGTTCGCTGTAGCTCGTCAGGGGAATTACTACAGAGTTATAGCAACATAAAAATAATACATATATAATTTTTTTAAAATTTCATCCACTCAACAGTAACTAAAAAGCATAATGAAGGTGGGAGGGGCAGACTGTACACACACACACATAGGAATAATTGAATGTTTCAACTGTAGCCTTTATCAACAAAAAGCATGAAGCATTTTAGTTACGCAGTTCAGTAAATAATTTATGGATGCTAGCTTGACTGCCGTCCCCTCTGTTTTTTATCACAAGAAAAAAGAAAGCAACTGCAACATGTTGTGACATCTGGAAAGGTTTAAGGAAAGAGAGATAAAGGAAGATGATGATGACATTATATAATGTTGATGATGTTTTTTCATCTTCTTCTTCTTCGACCCTTCTGTCAGAAAACTTAAATGAGGAGGCAGGTTGCCTTTATGAAATCTTTCATGCGGTCCATATATCCTCATGTACTACATAGCTTTGTCTTGACTGTTTGGAACGGGCTAGACTGCGTCTCTGTTGGCAGCATACAGTTGACAGTGTTGGAGCACATACTCAGCAGCCTCTGGTGCTCGCTGCAGGGACACATCTTCGTGTTTCCGACACCAAAACTTTACTGATCATATTGATAATGAAGATTTGATCATACAGCCATCAAGGAATAATGTTTTCATTGTTTTGTATTTCCTGCAACTGATTACGTGCTCATCCAAACTTAGTCAAGAAAGATGTTATTCCGTTTGCATCCTTCTTCTACACCATTTGAACCGTCGTTGATCTGACTAGATTTCCAGCAATTCAGAGATCTTTCTATTTAAAATGCATGTTTCCTGGCATACAGTATTTATAATAATTTATTTTACAGAAAGGAAATTGTCATCTGTATTTATCATGTCCTTATGACTAAACCATCATTGATCTAAGTTTCTAACAATTCAGAGATCTTTCTCTTAAAAGCACATGTCTCATGGCACAAAGCTTTTTCAGTAATTGATGTTACACAAAATGATATTGTCACCTTACCATTTTTTATGACTCAAAATAAAAAATAAAAAGGCTATGCATATGTGGGTCTAGATCGTGTGTTTACAGTATATAGAAAGGCTATAAGTTTATTTTTTAAACCATCTTTCCAAGAGTAATCACAGAAGAAGAGCTATAAATTTTGCCACAAGGCAAATATCTGTAAAGTTAAACAGACATAGAGACTGTTTTTACTACTATTCCGCTGAGGCTTTAATTTCATGTCTTAAGTGTATAAAGTCAAATGTTTTTAATTCCACTTATGTTATGCTTGTGGTTTAATTTTTTTTTCTAAAAATACTTTTGTTGTTGGTTTTGTTGGTTCTTTATTTTTTTCTTTGCCATACATATCTGCTAAAAAAATTATTGCATTGTATTTTTTCATGTATTTAAAAAAAAAAAAAAAACACGTGTACATCCTGTTTATTTGTTCTGTTGTCATATGTCTTTCTTCAGCTCTTTCCATTCCCTGTTGCTGGCAGCTTTCCCTCTTATAATAAGTTGTCATGTTGGTTATAACTGTGCTATAGGGAGGCACAGTAATCTCAGTCCATACGTTGGTGAGTTTGACTAGCAAGACCACTTGCACTGAGAGGCGTCTTCCAAAATTAGATATGGAATTTCAGAACCATCATTGCTATTGCATGTACGTAATGCTCTTCTTATCAGATGCTGTTTATTTCATTTACAGTTTAAAAATCGCTTTCAAGTTATAAGTAAAAGTAAAGTAAAGATCCCTTTACACGCCCTTAGGCGAATCGGGCATATGGGAAGAGCACCCATATTTTTACAGACCAATCGGCACTCGGTGGGTAATGTGGTCAGCATTACGCCAGCCGTCTTTACTTTCCCAGGACAGCCCATCCTGGTACCCATTTGAGGCTGGGTCGACCTGCGACGTCCCATACCACGATAAAAATCCACGCAGCCCACGCAGGTTTTGATCGCGGTACGTTGGATTACGAGTCAGACTCGCAACGCCTTAGCCACGGTTGAAATTTCCTCTATGGAAGAAGAAAATCTGATTTAGATGTCTAAAAATCATCTTGAAGAAATAAAACTAATTTAGCTTTACTGTCTCAGCGTAATTCTTGTAAATCTCCACCCCCCCCCCCCCAACCAACACCCAAACCCCCTCCCTTAACCATTTGTTGCATGTATGCATTTTTTTTCATTAATTTTTTTAATTATCTGTGAAAATTCCTTCTTAGTCCTTAGCCACTTTAATTTTGCACTCTCATACTTCTCATCGCTCATTTAATACTTTCATCAGTCTGAGTACACTGGTAAAAATGTGTGACTATATTCTGATGTTATTTGCTTGTTTTGGTTAGCACCTATACAGCTTGTGTATTAATACTTTAGATCCCTAAAGCTTACGCAGAGGTGAAAAGAAATGGTTAAATACTACACCGTCTGGATATGTTTTTGTAACAATTAAGTGCGATGTAATTTTTATGTCTTTAATAAAACAGTTTACATGTTCGTATCTTCTTCTTCTTTGTTCATCGACTGTAAGCTCCGGTGAAAAGTCCTGATTGTTCGTACATTTGGACTGTGACTTTGTGCCAGAGCCTGAGTTTTGCGGGTACATATGTTTTACTGGCTTATTTGTGTGCAGTTAGTAGTTCAGTGCTGCTCGGGCATACGCACTCCGACTCTGGTGAAAATGATCTTATCAAGGCACGCCGTTACATTAACTGAGGTAAAATATTTATGAATGAACACGATTCTTTAGAGTTTGGATCGTGTAAGCAATTTATTGTCAACTTGTTTATTCATTGTATTTGATATAAGTCTTACTGAAAGGTGCAATGAGTGGAGCTGTCTTTTTGTGGTGAGCACTGCTCGCCTAAGTTCAATGTTCGTTTACTAGCTTTTTTGTAGTGAGCACTGCTCGCCTAAGTCCGATGTAGTTCACAAGTATTTTTTTTAGTGAACACTGGTCGCACCAGTTCATTGCTGGTTCACCAAATTTATTTTAGTGAGCATTGCTCGTAACAGTTCGATGTTGGTTCGCCAGTCTTCTTGTAGTAAGCACTGCTCGCTCCATTTCGATGTTCGTTCACCAGCCTTCTTGTAGTGAGCACTGCTCGCCCCAGAGGGATATTCGTTCACTAGTCTTCTTGTAGTGAATACTGCTCGCTCTAGTTCAATGTTCGTTTACTAGTAGTCCTCGTGTACGAGCACTGCTCGCCCTTGTTCACTGATGTTTTACCAGTCTTCCTGTAGTGAGCACAAGTTTGATGTTCGTTCACATGTCTTCTAATAGTGAGCACTACTCGCCCAAGTTTGATGTTTGCGCACATGTCTTCCTATACTGAGCACTACTCGCCCAAGTTCGATGTTCGTTTACCAACCTTCCTGTAGTGAGCACTGCTGGCCCAGTTCGATGTTCGTTCACCAGCCTTTTTGTAGTGAGCAACTGCTCGCCCCAGTTCGGTGTTGGTTCACCAGTCTTCTTGTAGTGAGCACGACTCGCCCCAGTTCATTGCTGGTTTATCAGCCTTCTTGTAGTGAGCACTGCTCACCCCAGTTCATTGCTGGTTTACCAGCCTTCTTGTAGTAAACAATGCGGGCGCCAGGTAGATGTGGTTTACCAGTCTTCTTGTAGTGAGTACTGCTTGCTCCAGTTCGATGTTTGTTCATCAGCCTTCTTTAGCGAGCACTGCTCGCCCCAGTTCATTGCTGGTTTACACAATGCGTGGGCGATACCCTCGGCGGTGATGGTAGTCGCTGGAAGTCCGCAATTTAAGTCGCCGGAAGTGCGCAATTTACATAACACTGAGGCCCTGTTAGGGTGTGTTTTTGGCCGCCATAATATGTGCCCGTTATTCTGAGGATAGTCATCCACACAGCCAGCAGTGGGTTTCGATCGCGGTACATTAGAATTCACACAAGTAGGGCTATATCTAAATGCAGAAAGCACGAGCAAAGTACACAGATTTTGTGCTTGCCTGCACTTATGGTTGAATGTATATAGGT